ATAATAATAATAATAATAATAATAATAATAATAGTAAGTGGATTGTATAGACAAATTAAGGAGTCACATGTTACTAGAAGCCACGTCATTCATAGCGAAACCTAGTGTTATGATAAAAATAATATAATTGAGTTAAATCTAACAGTCATTATATTTTGATGGGAAACATACTTTAAAACGTGTATAGCATCAGATTCATTCTACAATCATTTAAAAAGTAACTGGTTAGATAATTTTATATTATCATATTTTTGTCAGGACAATTAAAGTTTGGTTTCTAACTGTTAAATAATTAAATATATAGGCAAAACAATTATCGACTATCAATAAATAGTTTTGAGTATTATTTAAACCACCATCATTATGACGTATAATGAGGAAAAATAGTGATTTTATCTTTCCGGAAGTAAAACTGACAAATCAATAAATCATAATTGATACTGGTATTATGAAAAATATTAGACCTATTTAGTCCGTATTTACTGTTAAACATTCGTGATTATGAATGCCGTACTACTGCTCCCTGTGTCTTCGCTGGTGTAGGTATGGCAGTGAATCCTAGGGTAGAACTAGCTCAGACTGGATCCCAGTGAACAGTCGCTTGTGTGCTGTCCGACTTGAACAGATAGGGACACTCGCCGTTGCTTCTTCATTGTCTCTGCTCACGCTCCCACTGATTGGGGTTCAGGTAAGGTAATAAATGAATTTTGAGAATGCTTTCAAACCTTCAGAAAGCTAAACACACTGATGTAGTAATAGTGGTTGGTGAGTTTAATGTTCAAGTAGGTAGACTAAGCTAAACTGAAAGATCCCTAGGTTGATCTTATGGTGTGGTGGCACAAAAAGCATTACGGCAACCATCTACTGCAGTTATGCACAGATAACTGCTTGATTCTAGCGAATAGCAACTTTAAGCATAAAGAAAAACATCTATTGACATTGTGATCCACAAAATATGACTGGACCCAACTAGACCACTTTGCTATCAACCACCGATAGATCATCTGAATAATAAACCGTCGCTCGTTCTAGGGGACGTGTTTAGACTCAGATCATGCTCTAGTGCCAGCGTGTATTTGTTTGCGGCTTACTGGACGTAGGAAAGGCATCGCAAGGAAATCTCTTAGGGTCATACTTAATGATAGCTTAGCTAAGAATATATATATCAGGAATAAGTAGAAAAAAAATCTAGGCGACCATGTAAGTGATACCCATTCGAGAGACACCCTGAAACGATATCAAAAATCTGTAGAAACAGCAGCGATATCTGCTAATAAGGTAAATCATAAAGTTAGGGAGAAACAGTGGATCTTGGCAACATCTACTGAACTAAAATATACTCGTAAATTCATCCCCTCTCTCCCCGAGTACGAAGATGAGCGGAGTCAGCTCAGACACAGGCTGATAAGAAGCCTACACAATGATCCTGAACAATGGGGGGGGGGGAGAGAAAGCAAGAGAGACGGAAAAGGCGACGGCGATAAGCAACAGAAGACAACTGTTCCGACTTAACAAGGAAACCGGAACTAGGAATCCGACTGTTACTGAGACTGTTTCGGAAGAGGATGGATTCTGTATTCATTCTTAATCCAGGAGATAAGATATATGGGTAGAAAACTTTAGGGATCAGTTCCACTGACCTTCATCCACATCTTGGTTACCCACAATCTCCAGTCAACCTGAATGATAAGTTTATGTGAATCCTTCAACTCTTTGTGAGATTGAAAAGGCTGTTTGGCAAGGGAGAGTTCTACTCTATGAAGACTATGAAAAAATGCACACTCTTTTGATCACCTTAAGCAACAATGCAACCTTGTTCGGGGTGCGCTTCTCCACCTCGAAATGCAAAATGTTGATTCAGAAATGTCTTGCATCGGCGCTTGAACTGGTGATAGGGAGTGAAGTAGTGGGAAGTTTTGATAGCTTCACTTATATTGGGAGTCTCATCAATGCTGATGGTCTGGTGTGTAGCGAAATCTCGGCACAGATACAGGAGTCTTGAATGGGTTTTGCCAAATTGAGTCACTTATCGCGTTGGCGAGATACCCTTCTGTTCATCAAAGTACTAGTCTACTGAGCAGCAGTTTACAATATTGTACCAAGTAGTTGTGAAACATTCCCACTAAGAATAGAATATATTCGTAGATTACTAGTATTTGATCATCTGTATCTTAAAAGCATCGATCGTATCTCTTGGGACCATCGAGTAAGGAAAATGGTACGTTAGGAAAATGGCACCAGGTAAAGCGGGCTGATCACTTAGTGGAGTAGTAAATGTTCACCACTCGGGGTGATTTGGACATGTGTTACGTATGGCTGACCACCTACTGCCCCTACTAGCAATATTGTCTGAAGTAGGAGCAGGTTGAAGGAACATGATACAAATCCGTGAAGTCATTGACAACTGGACTGAGCCATATTAATAGGCGAGGACTTCATAGTTGGGGTCCGCGAGACAGTGATAACCAATGATTAAAGACACTGAATGACATGGCATGGAGCAGGTGCATCTAGTCGTTGCATTCTTTTATGACCTCATGATCTTTTCTTATCTCCTTTTAAGTTTATTTCACTAGATTCTACTTCTTGAAAAATATTTTCGAACCCTAAACTTCTCGACTACCGCTAATACTCCTACTACCTCTACTACAATGGTATTTGAAGTGATAATTTCATTTCCGTGTGCTAATGTTATATGGCAACTTGAAATAATGCATGAACGTACGAAGCTCTACCCCGTAGCTGACTGACCTAAAAGTAAAATCATTAGCTTTAGAACGAGTGACATGAGTTCGAATCCCGCACAGAACATCAATTCACTCAATCGCAAACAAACTTTGCTAATGTGTAATAACTAGTAAGACACCCAACTTTTGGGTTTCCTGTAACTTATCTCTATTGACCTTAAGCAGAACTGATGCATTTAATAGAAATTTAGTGGATTCTTTTAAGACCAAGTGGTCTCAAGGACCTTACTAATACTTAAATTTCAAAAAAAATTTAGAGGGTGACAAAAATTTTGTGGTGTCGTTGTCTGAAAGCATGTTCGCCATTTAACAGGATTAATCGAAAGAATATCACTTAACTGAGAATTTTCGGGAAATCTTGAAACCAGTTTATTCAGATACCAAATAGTTAACTTGGAATTAATTAATAGAATTTACTGTTTACCGGGCCAAAGAAAACCATTCTAGGTTCTGAAATTAGAAAGTAGCCTAATGACTGAACAGTATTTATAGTGGCTTTTATGACAGTAGATGCCAGTCAGAAGAAATATGGTTTTGTCCTAAATAAACAATCAGTAGTATAAATAGATATATTTAAAATGATATTGTTTCATGAGCGTACATCTGAAAGATAAAAAATGGATAACGCGGTGACGTTTTAAGCAAACGGTTCTGGGTTTGAGTTTAGATTGCTACTCAACATTGAGATGCAAATACATCCAGCTAGCGCGTCCTAAACATGGCATCTGTGAAGCCAATTAATAAACCATGACTTATTTTTCTTCCAGCGTGCATTAGAAAATGCACTGAAAGCTCAAGTACTGTTGACCGGTCAGGTATTTTTGGCTTTCCATTCATAGTGGTTAGGAAGACTATTAATAGCCTAAATATTATTCTATACTAATTTTTAACAGTAAATTTGTAGTCAGTATATACAGAAAGTAGATCCACAAACTTATCAAACTAAACAAAAAGCTAGATAATTAAATCTCAGGACAGCATTCTTTTTGCTTAAATTTCTGACGTAGTTTTCAAGATATATCAATAAAAAGAAGTATAAATCAGTTAAGCTATATAACATACCTTGTTTGCAAGGCCTGAAGCCTTTGGGTAAATCATGCTAACTATTAGCAGTTAGAAAAATATACATGGATTGGATCAAAAACATACCACATCTTTTTAATCCATAAATTAGAGAAGTTATTAGCAAACAAGCGCATTCTATATTTTATATCGAGAGGGATTTTTGACTCTCGATTTCGCTTAAGGGTTAAATGGACCGTTGGTTAGGTGGATTTAAGGCGTTAATTTAAAACATAAGTATCAGTAACACTAAATCTCAAGTTTTACATTGCGACAATAAATCTCATTAACAGTTTTTGATACTTGTTCTAGTTAATAATTGGTTCAAAAATTATTGTGCTGCATAAAATACGATATCATTGTGCATTTTTATTCACTTCTCTGTGCAGTGAATACAAATTTTTTCATTTTAGATAATTCTATATGCTGTTATTATTCTAAAGAGCTTTTATAACATTTTATTTAGTCATCTTCAACCGCCAGTGCATCTGAAACATTCTGTTTTATTTTCAGATAAATAGCCAAATTAATTGAAGATTAGACGTTATTTCCCAAGATCATCCTGGTTCTTCTTGTTTTGTTATTACATATGAATCCAGTGAACGAGCTGGTGAAGAGTTCTCTGAAATCAAGGCGAAAGATTTATCGAAACCAAAGTGATTAATAAAGCATGTTAGTCACTTATCTTGGAATACAGGCTTTGTTTTAAACAATTTAGCCCACAACGTTCATTGTTTGTGCAAATCAGGCACAAAGTAATGACATTTCAGGCTCAGAATTCCAGAAGTAAGCTAGTAAATTCGGTTTTATAAATCAAGTCACAGTAACACGAATTCAAAGCTTTTCTCTTTCCATCTCTGTTTACCGTTAACAGCCCCTTTCGAGATAGAGCCTGCATACCGTTGATTGTCAGTCGATGTCAATCCCAAACTTAAACCGTCGCTGTATACTGATTAAGTTGTCAGCTGAAGTATTCTTTTCACCTTTCGGGTTGTATATGTATACACATATGTATGTATTACGCGAAATTCCATACTTCACAACACCCAAAGTTCTCATTTTAATAGCCTTTTTACATAAGTTTTATTAGAATCCGCAAAAATATACCACACTACGAAATGATTTTGAATAAAACATTAGGACTTTCCAAACATTTTCCAAAGTCTGGAAAATGAGGAGTTAATATGATAATGAAAGTGATACTTGTTTTAATTCACTTTATTGGCAAAATATAATCGCAGGATTTCAGATACACATTACTCTAGCAGTTTATATTGTCATTATTTGTTTAATATTTAACCAGATATACTCGGTTGGATATAGCCATCTGGTTTTTTCGTCAATACTGAAGTTGAAATAGTTTCAGGCTCACCACGTTAGCTACAATTTATTTACATCAGTTCGTCCTCAGAGTTGTCACCAGACTCGATAATGCTGTACATTCTTACAGTTTTCTTTTTACACTTTCTACAGCATGAAATGATTCAGTGAGCGTCATAAAAAGATATACCTCCGAAAGCAGCATGTGCATAGTGTTATTGTTAACAGGAAAATAAGTGTCCCCACGACTGCATAACCCAAAATTGAACTAGAATTTAACCAATTCATTTGGCTGAGCATTAAGTCATAATACAATTTACATTACCCGGTTAAAGTATCCAATATCTTTTTCACGAGCTAGTATAAACCAATCAATTTCCTTGTGCTCAATTCTTATTCTTTTGGCTGGCAGTTGGCTTTGAGTTTGTATGTGTTGTGATTTGAATTAAAACGTTTGTTTCAGGGCAGTAGGGTTTTTGGATACCAGCAACTAACACAATACAAGACCGGAGACCATTTAGTTTCAATGTGGAGTAAAATAATGAGAAAGTTTTAATGTTAATAAGAAAATTTAAGGACTAAGTAAATAAATAGACAATCTAGTTTAGTAACTGGTAGTGAAGATTGTGAGAAAGGACCGAAGTGTAAGCAAGGGAGAGGAAACAGAGATAATAGGCTCAACAGATTAAGTTAGTGATCTGAGGAGATGGAAATACTAACAACTAGTCTGTCTAAAGACATGCATCGGGTAGGGTTTTTCCTCGAGGAAGATGATAGTTCGTATGTGAGTACGTGATTATCAAGTCTCTTCTCAAAGCTGTCCACTGAGGGGGCTGTGGTCATCTCCCCAGGGAGAGCATTCTAAGTTGCAGCGACTGTTAATGAGAAAGAATGTGCACGGAACCGAGTGTTCGCTCTTTGATGGGCAATTTTTCGAGGACTGCCTCTAAGGGAGTGGTGGTGATGCCTCCGTAAGGTGCTAATGTTGGGATGGTTTGGTGTGCTTAAAATGTCATACGCCACAATCAGATCACCTCTGATTCTCTTGTAACTCAATGGGAATTATCCCAAATGCGTGAGTCTATCTCCGTAAGCTTAATTTATCAACCATATCACCCATCTGGTTGCTCGTCTTTGCACTCTGTCTAAGAGCTTTATGTCTCTTTTAGGTAGAGGGGGTGCGACGACGTTGTGAAGCTTGAGGAGTGGGCATGCATATTACTAAACAGCGTTAAGAATAATTAAGGGGTGACAGCACCATTTTGTCTTCCCATAAAGTGAAGAGTAACATAATTATAACGAAATTTTTAACTAATTAATCTGTTTGCGCTCGATAGAGCTTTCAAACCTGCGGCATACTCTGCCGCAAATGAGCCAGGACCATTATATTCTACAGCTTCACATTTTATTTAAGTTAGCTTTTACTTTCAGTCCTTCATTATACAAGCTGACCGTCTTTTTCCTTGTAACTCTCAAGAAAACATGAGGAAGCTATCATATCGTTTTATCCCACAATTGTTGAAGAATCTGGTGATTTCACGGTGATTACGAGGGGACATTAGGGAGCGGACATCCGCTGAGGCTGTAATTCGTTTGTGTCATGTGGGGCAGAATATACATGATGTGACACTTCGGCTGGTTTAGTTTTAATCCGTTTTTCACTACTCATTCCTCAATGGATTTAAGGTCCTTTCGAAACTCAGTCGAATCATCTTCCGTTCTAATTGACCTCCATATCTTCGCATCGTTTGCGTAAATCAGTGCCGCTGAGAAATATTATGTGCACCAGAAAGTTTCTATCTCAGCAGGATGTACAACTGTCCATGTTACGAAAATACTGGACGCGTAAGAACTGCCTTTACGAAACCCGTACTGAGCTTCATGCTATTACTTACTTACTTACTTACGCCTGTTACCCCCAATGGAACATAGGACGCCCACCAGTTTTCTCAAACCAACTCTGTCCTGGGCTTCCCTTTCAAATTCTATCCAATGTTCGTTCCTTCTCCTCATGTATTTCTCGATTTCTCGGCCTAATGTGTTCCTTGGCCTTCCTATTTTCCTTTTGCCCTGAGGGTTCCAGGTGAGGGCTTGCCGTATGACTCAGTTAGTTGCTATTCGTAATGTGTGTCCTATCTACTTCCGCCGCATATTCCTGATTCCTCCTCCACTGGAATCTGGTTTGTTCTCTCCCACAGTACGTTGTTTCTGATGGTGTCTGGCCAACGAATACGAAGTATTTTGTGTAGACAACTTTTAATAAACACTTGTATCTTATGGATGATGGCATTCGTAGTTCTCCAAGTTTCCGCTCCATACAGTACAACTGTCTTGACATTTGTATTGAAAATCCTGTCTTTGGTATTGATTGATAGTTGTTTAGAGTTCCAGATATTTTTCAACTGTAGAAATGCAGCCCTCGCTTTGCCGATCCGCGCCCTCACATCTGCATCGGATCCACCTTTCTCGTCGATGATGCTGCTCAGATATGTAAAGGTGTTAACGTCCTCCAAGACATCTCCATCAAGAGTGATTTGGTTGGTGCATGTTGTGTTGCATCGGAGAAGTTAGCTTTTTCATTTATGTATGTTGGGACCTGCTGCTGCAGAGACTGTTGCTACACTGGTCGTCTTCTCTTGCATTTGTTGTTGCGTGTGCGATAGAAGAGCCAGGTCATCTGAGAAGTCCAGATGGTGCAGCTGCGTCCTAACTGTCCAGTTGATACCGTGCTTCCCTCCAGATGTCGATGTCTTCACAATCCAGTCGATGACTAGGAGAAAGAGAAAGGGTGAGAGTAAGCAACCTTGCCTGACACCGGTCTTTACCTCGGAAGAGCTGTCCTCCGTGCACGATTTTGCAGTTGAATCCTTCATAAGAATCGCGTATGATGTTAACTATTTTCTCAGGCACACGGTAGTATCGAAGAAGCCTCCACAGTGTATTCCAGTCCACGCTATCGAATTCTTTCTCGCAGTCAATGAAGTTGATGTAGAGTGATGAACTCCATCACTCTATTTAACAACACCCTGTTGAAGACTTTGCGAGGTATTGAGAGAAGAGTGATGCCTCTGCTGAGATCGCCTCTCTTTGGTACATTGATCAGGTATCCTTCTTTCCAATCTGATGGTACTTGTTCCTCATCCCAAATCTTCTTGAAGAGGATGTGGAGCATCTTTGCAGTTGCAGCCGTGTCTGCTTTCAATGCCTCTGCTGGAATGCTCTCTGGTCTCGCTACTGTGCCGCTCTTGATTTGTCTGATGGCCATACTGACCTCCTCAATTGTAGGTGCGCCAATATTAATTGGGAGGTGTGTGAATGCTCGTTCGATGTTGGGTGTGTTCAGTGAAACTGATCGATTCAAGAGTTCCTGAAAGTGCTCTACCCACCTACTTCGCTGTTCTTCAGTGTTGCTGATTACTTTGCCTTACTTGCTTTTCACTGGTCGTTCTGCTTTACGATGATTCCCGGCGAGCTTCTTTGTTGTTTCGTACAATTGTCTCATGTTTCCGTCTCTTGCAGCCTTTTCCAGCGTCATTGCTAGATCATCCACATATTTTCGTTTGTCAGCTCTGATGCTCTTCTTCACTTCCCTGTTTGCCTCTGTGTATTCAGCTTGTGCCTTAACTTTCTCTGTTCTTGTTCGGCTGACGTTGATTACTGCCTTCTTGTTCCTCCTTTCTTCAATTTTTTCAAGAGTACCAACAGACATCCAATCCTTTTGATTGTACTTCTTGTGACCCAGAACCTTCTGACATGTTGAAGTGATTGCCTGCTCGATCGCTTTCCAATTATTCTCAATAGTTGTTTCCTCTCCATTGAGTAGATTCTGCAAGGACTGGAACTTATTGCTGAGGGCTATCTTGAATTCATTGAGTTTTACGGTATCCCGAAGAAAGGCCGTATTAAACTTCTGTAGTGTTGTCTGCCCCATTGTCCAGTGTTTCTTTAGTTTCAGTTTTGCTTTTGCGATCAGCAAGTGGTGATCTGAGGCTATGTCAGCTCCTCTCTTGGTTCTCACATCCTCCATGGTCCTTCTGAACTTGTTACTGACAGGGATATGGTCAATTAGGTTTTGAGTAGTGTGGACCGGTGAAATCCATGTGGCTCTATGTATGCGTTTTGTGCGGGATTCATGCCTTGTTCATCAATATTTCCACTTACGACAGCAAAGCGTTATGATCTGAGTTTTATTTAGAAATAAATTCATAACGGGATTTAAGGGGAAAATATATTTTTATGGGTTCCAATCAAATAGCTCCGAAATATTCTTGTTACTTTCCACTCTTCAAAAATATATTTTTCCAAATGAATTTAAGTACGTCAACCATAAAACAGTGTAGATCCCACATTACTTATAATCGTAATAACTTAACACTCGGTCTGCTGTTACTAACCTGGATTACCCCATTTAAGGATGTGCAAAGCCTGTTACTCAGATAAAACATACATCAGCTAACTGTTAATGTTAAATATCAAATTATCTAAATATCTCAACCGCTACATCTTCTTATTGAATTACTGTCACGTGTTTCTTTCATTTATTCCTATCTCAGATTGGCAAATACCATATGCGACTTATGCAGAAGCTCTCGAGATATAATATAACAGGTCCCGTACAACAGTGGCAATGATGGAGGGTGAAGGTCGATGGAATGCTTATTTAATCGAAACTCGTTAAAAGTAGAGAACCACGATATACTATCTTACGTTCCCAGTGTTTAGACTCTGCGTGAATGAGTTTATATCATCGACTTTACCGTCTACAGATGATGTCAAAATGTGGATAACAGTAAGTAGTAGTGTTCAAAATTCATCGAAGTAAAGTAAAGTCTATTCAGAATTGATATGGACAAACAATAGGTACTGAGTGTCAACGTCACAAAAAAAGTGAAAATATTTTAATTTACAATGGTGAAGAATAGTATCACTATAAGAATGATATACAATATAAATGGCAGGGTTGGTGCTTTTCAAAAGCACCGCATTTTGTAGCGTCCGTTAAAAGTCAGCAGGTCACTATCGATGTTGATTTTGTTTACCGCCACACTTTCGAAATACATATTACGCCTCCAACACTTCTAAAGATCTTGCGATCTCTGTTCACTTCAGCACTCAGTATTATTTTTAAGAAATAGTACATTGTAACGTGATTTGTCGAACATTTATTTTCCAGTAGAAGATCAGTGGGTTGGTTCAGCAACTAGGATTCAATAACCCTAGATATTTAGGGACTGGTTTATTTTGAGAGTGGATGTAATTGTCCCTGATCAAAAGTCCTAGTAGACTATTACATAATATACATCAGTGCACGTAAGTGGTGGTAAATAGACCAAATATCTGCCTTACCTGTTAGCAGCAAATAGTTTTGTAACGATAGCTATTTCATACCAACATCAAGTAGACTAACATTCGGTTACCAGAAGGGGCACACCGTATTTTCGAGCAACAGCGAGCAATTAAACTTTCAAAACTTGTGTAGCCAAAGCCATAATATAGAAACGGATAGCTAAAAAGCGAAACTAATAAATTGTCCAAGAGAAAAGGTATTTATAACAAACTACGGATGGTAAAAGCCGAGACTACCGACAAAACGAAGTTTAGAAAGTCAAGAAACTCGAAATATTATAGCCTTAACCAACACCTTGGAGTTAGCTATAATATAATCTAAGATAAGGAAGTAAACGTGACTAAAAAAGAGATGATAACTCTACCCGAACTGAAGATAGTAGAGAAACTTCAGGTTGGAGTAACTAGTATTATTACAACTATCTTGAAGTTTAAAAACATTCGATACCTTTCATTAGGTTATCCGATCAGTCATAAGAAAAGTGAATTCTAACACGTATATTCACTAGTTTAAGTTGCCACATATACAATGACATGACGTCTTCAGGACAGATCCCAAATTAGCTTAAGTAGTGATACGATCACATTAGTAGAGAAAAACTTATGTTCATTTTCCTTAATCCAGTGACCGAAGACGAACAGATTAAATAGGGACTCATATAAGAGTTTTCCTGGATGTATGGTTAAGCAACTGAGCCAATCGGTATGTACATGAGTAAGTAACAGAATCAAAGTACAATATAATTGAATGGACATAATTAGGCTGAAATGGTAGTAGTATTGAATTAATACCAGAATTAGACTTCTTCGTTGTTAAATAGGAATTATATCGACTCTGGTTTTAGAATGACCAGTAACTGTTTTAGAATGAAATAAATCGAGAATTGGACCAAACTGTTTGTAAATGCATTGTACTAAAAATTAGTCTAAACAGTTCAGAAAATCAATTAATCAGCATGTCTGAAATGTTTTAGATCAATATGATAATGTAACATTATTAACAGATATGTGAACAGACAGGATTAATATATAAAGTATTTGAATTAAACATGTGACTGAGTAAATATACACTAATCCAAATGATATAATTCGGATGATAGTCACATATTCCGTCAGATCCTGCATTTTAAATTAAGAATTCAGTTATGTGAATTTAGCATATCTGTAACAAACAACATCAGAGATTGGGCGTAGACAAAGTGCTTCGAGAAAAAATCGGAATTTGTAAATCTTTTATGATTTAAAAGAACACAAAAGCTGAATGTCTCTATACTATTGCATCAGATTCCGAACCATATCATTTAATATCTCTAAGCATTGGTTACAATGATTGCATTGTAGTGCCTCCACATATATTCCAGTTCGCTTACATCTATCTTGGTTAGGCCCTTTCAATTAATTTATTTAACCAGGCTATTTATGTAGCAACAACTTATATGTACCATTCGTTCTTATTATTGTCTGGTTTGTATGAGCTCACATGACGTGTCCCACTTGTTATTCGGCCTTGTCAACCATTCGTCGCTTTTATTCATGTGTGTGCGCGCCTATTTCGCTTGTCACATGTCTTATTTTTGTCTGACTATATATTCTTAGTCATGCTCTATCTCCAGGAATTTGCTCACTAGCCTTCTCCACATCGCTTCCTTCGCCCATTCGTTCGCATTGTAATCCCAGGAGTTGGCTCATTAGCCTTCTCCACATCGCTTTGTACGATTCGCTTCAGTCGCTCATTCGCTTGCCAGTGTACACGCTACAGCATGAACCCCAACCAGGTAGTTTGCAGTTACCAACACAACCCATTATAACTGTGTAGTGGAACGCTTCTACGAAGAAAATGCGATTTTTGAAATGTGAACATTATTGTACTCGCTGTGTTTAACTGTACCAAAAACACTTCTACTACTTCTTGCGCGCAACGTTCTCTTCGCGTTGCCGCCATGTTTCTCCTTTTGCTGCTCCCTATGTAACGCCAACGTTCTCCTTCAATAAACCACTGAACTATGGATTTATTTTGTTCTCCTTTTCGTCACGCAACCGTATGGAACATTTAGTGGTGGGCATAGTCAAGCTGGTTTCCGGACTCGCTCACTAAAATTGGTGAGACTGACGTTTCTTCAAAAGAAGTCAATTACGGTGAGTCTATTATTCATCTACCACTATTTTTATAATGTTGCAATACTATTAATAGTGTCTTTAACATATTTTATACTTGCAACAACTTTTCGAAATGGTAGATAGCTATAATAATAGACTCCGAGGTGCAGGTCATGGCATTTTCACCTGTCTCCTCACCGTCACTTCAGGTTGTTAGTTTATTTTACGTGCACGATTTTTGCACTAACGCTAGGTACTTGGTGGCCACAAGTGCCCAAGTTTCTGTCGTATCGTTTGGTAGCAGTAAGTCATAAGCTACGATGCTTCGACCACGCACTGAGAATGTCTCTGTCATTCCTACCTATGGTACACGACAGCTAACTATCAACCTGAATATCCAACGACATTATCTATGGGCGTTCATCCGTGCTGATGTTCCCATAGCCATACTCGGTATCGATCCATTACAGCACTATGAATTTCTATTCGATTCTCGTAGGCTGCGTTAATCGATACTTCGTCAAATATTAAATACATGGTTTCTAACACGCAAACAGATATGTACGGCAGATATCCAATGTTCCGCCTTCGAACTCATATACGGCACGACATTCCATCCGCCTGGGGAATTTTTTCACACCACGGAGAAGCGATTTTCTAAATATCAGATTACGTCCAACGACTATCTGCGTAGATGCGAATACTGCCTCCGGTTTGAACTCGAATATAACATCGACAGGTCGCTCTCCCTCGAGAGTTATTTACCTGTCCGCAAGTTCTTTTACTAGTAGATTCGGTACTCAACAACCTTACGAAGGATCTTTTCACGTGATCTATCGTCACGAAAAGACCTTCAAGGTTGATGGACACAGTCAGCATTGATCGTCTCATACCAGCGCACGTCAATGACAGTGCCCTACCTGGTAAATCGAGATTTAATGCTGGACTCGTCCAACTCACTAGCGGGATCCTTATTTTTCCTTCTGATCCCACGCTAGCGAAATCAAAAACCTCATTCTCACGTCCCAGTCAGCGGCACGCGCCATCTGCACTACCTACGGATGAGACCCCGGTCTCACGTCCAGATCAGCAGACCACGCCGCACTTGACTGCGGATGAGAATGCAGGCTCACGAGGTACGCACGAGGCTACTGTCTCGCGTGCCGGTGGCCGCGTACGCCTACCTGTACGCTTTCTCGACTAACTACCAATCAACCACGGGTTCGGCATAGGATTTTACACTCATACTACATGCATGCTACACTTTTCTCCCTTTTCTTCTTTTTTTATCCCGAGCCTATACCTTCGACCATTGCCCTGTTGGTACCGTCGACTTCAGTCAACCTTGGCGAAAGCTGGCCTGATCACCCACGCTCTTGTCAATGCACTCAGTCGATTTTCTGGTGACGAATATATCTGGTATACGAATGGTTTCGAAATGGTCGTTTCTGGCTCCTTCGCTCAATCTGTTTCCGTCCTACGTCTGCAGCTTTATCTGGTCCGAACGCCTACGAAAGCAATCTTCAGACTCTGGATACGAGCCACGCTGGCGCGGCATGCCAACCCGATAGACAAACTTGGCACATCAACTCGAGCAGCAAACCTGGCACGTTACTACTGGTACAGTTCAACGTAGAAGACCATCGGTGACAACTCGAGCTTCATTGGTCGCTTCCTGTTCGTCAACCCTTCCGCGCTAAAACCAAATGTTGGCCGACCAGCACCCCGTCAAACGTAGCCGCTATAAATCGAAAGTATAAACCCTTTCTAGGCGGGGGCTGCTGTAGTGGAACGCATCTACGAACAAAATGCGATTTTTGAAATGTGAACATTATTGTACTCGCTGTGTTTAACTGTACGAAAAACACTTCTACTACTTCTTGCGCGCAACGTTCTCTTCGCGTTGCCGCCATGTTTCTTCGTTTGCTGCTCCCTATGTAACGCCAACGTTCTCCTTCAATACACCACTGAACTATGGATTTATTTTGTTCTCCTTTTCGTCACGCAACCGTATGGAACATTTAGTGGTGGGCATAGTCAAGCTGGTTTCCGGACTCGCTCACTAAAACTGTCAATAACTTTATCTACTTGTACAATGTTTTGGTTTGATCACTTTCTTCAAACCTACGCCTACGCCAGCAAATACTGTACGCCAACGTAGACAGTAAATAGGGATACATGATACATATCCTAAACTCCTGACTCAATGGAGATTAACTACCTTACAAATCGATTTTCATCTTTAAATGTTACCGTACGTTAAATATCAGTATTTCTGACTCGATAGTCCTAACATAAGCGATCTAATCTTTGAGGGCAACTGTGATCGAACATTCTACTACTCATGTCCTTTATCTTCAAAGAACATATTTCGCCGCCATAATACACAGTCATAATAGATTTAAAACAAAGTTTAGCAGATCGTCATTAGGTTTAACTTTAAGGTCAAAAAGCTAGATTTATTTGTAGCTCGTTCAATATTCATATGTAGATAATAATTGTAAATCGCCCACATTCATCACGTTTTATTAACCAAAGGTAGTAGTAATCAATACAGTTGAATTTAAAAGGAGTTTATAGAAAAAAAATATCGTTTCATTTCATGAACTTTTTTTATTTTCGGTAAATATTTTGAAGCAAATATGAAATGTAGGGAAATCAATGTTTGATAAAAAAAGAAAAAGAAATAATCTATGTATTAAAATGACTACTAATAAAAAATCTATAAAATCACCGACAAGAACTAATGTCCAATACAAAATAAATAAAGTTGTCTTGTTTGTTTGTACTTTTTCAATCAATCAATACAAAAAGCCTGTATCAAAATCAAATATTGTTTTGACTAAAAATCGACTAGTAATTTTCTTTTTTTTTTGTTCATTTCATTCAATTTATCGAAAAGAACATGGAAAACATTTAGCATATGGATCTTGAAAATTTATATCATCATTATCATAATTCATGCCTTGTTTGTTCGTATTAGATTTAGAAAATGGTGTCATACATGAACATCGACATAATCCAAAATGTAATACAGCAGAACTTATGTAGCATATTCCAGCTACAAGAAATAAATGATCTTTTTGATTAGTGTACTCAACTATGGTAACTTTGAGAATAGAAAAAAAGGAAAAAGAAAATGAAATTGTCAAATGAGTGAATAAATAATATATTAGAGATGGTGGAGAAAACTTGTAGCTCAGGTGGATGATTGTGGTGGTGTTTCGTTCTCTGAGCTGGTTGTTTTGGTTGTGGAGCTTTCATTGTTCTTCTGAACAACATCATCAGCACGAACTTCAGATAGAAGTGAAGCACACAAACCAACAGAATCACTTCAGTCAATCCTATGTAGACCAAAGGACGAAATGACAAAGGAAGAAAAACCAAATATCATCTACAAAATAAATTGCTCAAACTGTGAAAAACACTACATAGGACAAAGTGGACGACCTCTTCAGCTCCGTTTACGTGAACATCAATTAGCAGTCAAACGCCACGACAACGCTTCGCTTATCTCAATACATACCGACAACTATGGACACACATTTGATTGGAACAACGTGGAAATACTGGGTAGGGGGAGGACAAAGAACACTAGAGAATTTTTAGAAGCTTGGCACTCAGGTCAATTAGCAATCAACAAACACATCGACATTGACCCAATTTATCAACCAATCAGGAGAATCATAGGTGACACTGGATCAAGAAACAGATCAAAAGAGGGAGGCAATCAAAACATAGTTGCAAACAACGACAGGTCAAAGGTCAACAACAACCAATCAAGATCGAGGTTAGCAGAACAAGCTACAGGTCAAACGTGGAGAAATTCTAATGCTTTATTCTATCTGAAGTTCGTGCTGATGATGTTGTTCAGAAGAACAATGAAAGCTCCACAACCAAAACAACCAGCTCAGAGAACGAAACACCACCATAATATATTAGAGTATATTTGTATGTATGAGTGTAGTGATTACGGTAAGCTATATTATTTTATTTCATTTTAAACCTAATTGGGAATCACGGTATTCAGTGGACAGCTAGGACGCAGCTGGACGATCTGGACTTCTCAGATGACCTGGCTCTTCTATCGCACACGCAACAACAAATGTAAGAGAAGACGACCAGTGTATCAGCAGCCTCTGCAGCAGTAGGTCTCAACATACGTAAAGGAAAAAGCGAAATTCTCCAATGCAATACAACATGCACCAACCAAATCACCCTTGATGGAGATGTCTTGGAGGACGTTAACACCTTTACATATCTGAGCAGCATCATCGACGAGAAAGGTGGATCCGATGCAGATGTGAGGGCGCGGATTGGCAAAGCAAGGGCTGCATTTCTACAGTTGAAAAATATCTGGAACTCCAAACAACTATCAATCAATACCAAAGTCAGGATTTTCAATACAAATGTCAAGACATTTCTACTGTATGGTGCGGAAACTTGGAAAACTACGAATGCCATTATCCAGAAGATACAAGTGTTTATTAGTAGTTGTCTACGCAAAATACTTCGTATTCGTTGGCCAGACACCACCAGCAACAACGTACTGTGGGAGAGAACAAACCAGATTGCAGTAGAGGAGGAATCAGGAAGAAGCGGTGGAAGTGGATAGGACACACATTACGAAAAGCAACTAACTGAGTCATACGGCAAGCCCTCACATGGAACCCTCAAGGTCAAAGGAAAAGAGGAAGGCCAAGGAACACATTAGGCCGAGAAATAGAGAAAGATATGAGAGGAATGAAAAAACATTGGACAAACAACTGGAGAGGGAAGCCCAGGACAGAGTTGGTTGGAGAAAACTGGTGAGCGGCCTATGTTCCATTGGGGGTAACAGGCGTAAGTAAGTAAGTAAGTAAGTAAGTAAGTAAACAAATAATGTGTTCACGATTTTATGGTATTTTTTTGGAAAAGAGAAGCACAAGATGAGGAGTCGATTCGGAAAAATGAGTAGTCTGATGAAATTATGACCATCATTTTACGCCATGTCGAAAAAAATACACATATGCCTATAAATACCGGATATCACAATTTAATTTTCAAGGTATTCCGGTCGGTAGCTTCCAAACAAGTAACATTAGACACAGAAAATTATAACGCAGAATCAATCTGATCGGTAAAAATCAACCAGCATCACTACTAAGTGATCTATTGGTGAGATCTCCGTGGGTAACTCACATAACATGAAAGTAATTATTGAGCAGTTAGTTTGTGTAATAAAGTACAACAATGAAACGGATATTTGAGAAATCAAACTGAAAACTACGAGTAAACAGACATTCAGCGTTTTTAGATGATTCTTTAGTTAAACAATGGTCATTTATGAAGGATCAGTATTATGAATATAACCTGAACTATGTAAGAAATCAATTGAAATCAGGAAGTAATGGATAGGTTTGTCAGATTGATTAGTTTCTAAGGTTCGTTGACAGACAAGTGATGACAAACAGGAATCATACAACTAGATTGTGTCAGTGAATAAGTACCAGTAATATTTTATAATAATTAAGGTCAATGAAAAGTGATAGCCACCAGAAAATTATGAATCAGTGAATTTCGAGCTAGCAGTTAGAAATAAATTTCTCTTCCAATAATTTATTCACCAAAACATAGTACAATTAAAACCCAATCCATCGAATCCAAAATGGTAGTCAAACTTGGTGATTGAGAAATGAATATCCTGCATTAAGTAATGTTAAAGTTACGGTCTTATTTAGATTCATCGAAGATACTACACATTAGAATCTTTTCTCATTGTTCAAAAGTTTGAAAGAATAGATAGTGATAATACTTTCTATGATAAATTAAAAAACTAAAAATAAGACAGGAGAACTACTGGATTAAATAAAACATAATATGCTTACTTGCCACAGTTGGTCCAATCATTGAAAAAATACCTTTCAGTAAATTCAAATTACTAAAACTCGCTGTCAAACGCTCAAGTCCATTGAAACGTACTAAAAGTATTGGTATAAGTGGGATAGGTATACCTAAATGAAAAAAAATTCAAATTGTTTATGTATGCGAATTCATCTGTTCTATCTTTTATCTAAAACATATGTTCACTTTGATTCAGTAGAAAACTTGTGAGTAATTAAGGACTTGCAGCACCGACACTGCACCATTGACGTTGCATTATTCAGTATCACAGTCTGAGACAGTATTGAAGAGTTACTTGAACTTTGACTGGGATATATGTCAGCCGAACAAGAGCAGAGAAAGTTACCGCACAAGCTGAATACACAGAAGCAAACAGGGAAGCGAAGAAGAGCATCAGAGCTGACAAACGAAAATATGTGGATGATCTAGCAATGACGCTGGAAAAGGCTGCAACAGACGGAAACTTGAGACAATTGTACGAAACAACAAAGAAGCTCTCCGGAAACTATCGTAAACCAGAACGACCAGTGAAAAGCAAGTAAGGCAAAGTAATCAGCAACACTGAAGAACATCGAAATAGGTGGGTAGAGCACTTAAAGGAACTCTTGAATTGCAAAACACATACATGTCTTGATTAATGCACTTTGTTTCTAAATGATATTCTCGGATTAATATAGTTAGTTTAAAGCTTAATAGCTTAATATGGCCTATTAAATGATCAATCATTTTGAAATTGCTTATGATTTAATTTTACACTATAATAACGTTTATTTAAATTCATGGTTGGTCATTCAACACCATATTCACTTATATCATGTAATTAAGGGGATTTCACCTATGGAATCTTACCAAAATTTACATTCTGGAATTGTATTTGAATTCAGCGCTCAATAAACTTAAAAGACATTAACATTTACATAAAATTATAGTGATTCTGACATTTAGGAAATGATGATGAATGTTTATGACTTAAGTGGTCTCTTTTGTAAGTGTTGTATTCTATTAAGTAAGTGGTTCGGTTGTTAAGTTATCACTGCTGTTCTGGAATATGACGCATTAATGTCATATAATATCGAATCGAAATATTTTTACCGTCTAGACTAGTTAGTAAGATAATCATAGGATATATGAAACGTGTACATTTTTCTGAAGCTTAGGTTTTCAAGATTTAAGGACAGTAATTGGTAATGTACAAATATTTATCACCTCATTTAATGACATCCTCTCACTATAGTAATAAAGATAAGAATTTTCGAATACTATTCGGTTATTTTCAAATGTTACCAGAATATTTAACAAACGTTGATAAGTTTATGAGATAAATTATTTTCATGATTTCTTGATAAGTTTTATGATGAGGAGTAAAATAATCGGTGGTACTGAAATTCGAAACTGAATTTTAATCATCCCATCGTTGACATGTGCACAATTGTACTGACTCCCTTAATATGGATTATTTTATCAGAAGTTATTTTAGAGTAAATAGACTTCAGTTGTCAGTAGAATCCAGGACAGTTGTTTTGTTCTATTCGGGACTCGTTAACTTAATGTAGACGTATCCTGTTGTCGATGTTCATAATAGGACTTAAACATAACACCTACTGCTTCAAATGTCCACAGGTTATCCAGTAAATCACTGACTCTATATATTCAGTAGTCTGTTCAACGGGTATGAACTTATTTTTAAGGATACTAAGTTTGAGTCCCACTGTGGATATCAATACTGATAATTAGGAATATAAAACTGACGATTACTTAATAAGACAAAATTTCATCATGAATCATATTACCAGTGATAATTCAATTATCCTAAAAACAACCTAGTAACCACCTATAATATAGTTCAGTTTAAATAAATAAATCACAAATTCAACTAGTAAAATGGATAGCCGTTGTTCAATCTATAACGTATTTTCTAATGTACAATGCTTCAATATACACTTACCACTACATAGGCCATAAATACTGGCATATATAATGTACCATGTGAATGTATGCGGAAATATGAAAATAAGAAGTAAATGTGCAAGTCCACCACCAAAAGTTGCTAGTCCACTTAAATAGACTGAATCTAGATGGAAAAAATTTGCCATAATACCAGATGTTATTCGACCAACTGTATGAAATATACCTATATAGATGTATATAAAAATGTTGAAAAAAGGATTTTTAGCAAAATATTAAGATTAAAAATTGTTTGTATTTCAAGAAATTAAGTGAATGTCCTTTAATTTGTATTTAAATATCAAAATTATACATTACTAAAAACATTGGATAATGATTTTCTCTGATGTTGTGAAAAGGTTGAAAACTAAGCAATACAGATATTAGAAAAGCAATGCCATAAATAACTTGGAATACTTTTGTCTCGCCTACTGCATGACCATTATCGACTTAGTCTGATAAAAGTAGGTGTTTAATCTTTTTCAACGAATGACGATTGCCACTAACTTATTGAGTAAGCGATACCCTTAGAAAAAGAATACGTAACACGATTTAACCAGTTTAATAATCTATTTTACAATCAAGCTAATCTTATGATGAGAGGTATATCTCAGTCGTACTACTAGGTGACTTGGCTAACATCCCACTTTGTCGGTTGAACATATTTAAACAAATTTAATGAGCAGTTACACTTTATCATACTTTATCACTCAAAAACAACTTTTGTTGGTAAATTTTATGACTACCAGTAATTTAAAAAGAAATATAAATAAATTTAATTTAAGTAATTTTTTATATAACATTTCTAGCTTTGATAGCCGCTGTTAATTGCGAACGTGTATTATTTACCCATTGACTCAACGTTTTTTATGAATATACTTCTGATTGTAAATACCTTATGGTTTGATTATGAATATCCTATATAAAATCTTTTCATATACTTGAAAACGAAAACAACATTAGTTTCTTAGGCTAAGACAGTGACAAAACACAGATTATTCTGAATATTTTGAAGAGGTTTCAGGCTTACTTTAAGATGAATTTGGTCTCATTGTTTTAGTACTCACATTAATCTTGATGACTGAAATAGTAGGTGAACCAAATCTTTGTTATAATAACTACTACTCATAATAAGTAATACTGTGGCCTAAATACAATAATTTTTAGGGTATCGATAGTCGTCTTAATGTTCTACTACTCTTCATAACCAATAAGATTTACTTGTTATCAATAGGCAGCTAATAAAGTGATTTTTAGTGAGAAGAATTACGATTAACAATAAATTAGTATGTATGATGATAAAAATATCACGATTTTACTGTTTAAATTTTAAACTGGGAAAATCTTCTGTAGGAAGTAAAAATAACAACTTAAATGGCCTGTTTAAAATTTACCTCGTTTTTAAGCATATAAAACAACAGATATTTGCATTACAGGTCTCTTCAGAAACGTGATCACCCAAAAAAATACTTGCCCTTTATCTACCAGGATATATGTTCATCATTTTTACATGATTGATTAAAATTCCCTCAAAGACAAAAGCATGTTCTTACTGGTAACTAGCTCCAACATGTACTCCTAAAGGTGTGAAATGGTAACGAAAGATGGTCATGCAATATTGCTAACTGATTGAAGTTAGATATTCAAATCAATAGATGGTGGTTCATTGACCAAAAGTTTGACTTCTTGTGCATGAGGTGGAAGTCCATGATTCTAGTCTTCTGTAAGGTCGTTAGTGTGCACATCTGAGGAACACCATACTCAGGCGAAACAGTTGTCTAGTGCTCCCTGATTTTTAATGATTGTTTAATTAAGATCAATGAGTGAAGTAATCTATGAAAAACAATTGATTAGCTTAGAACAGCTAAAATTTTTGAAAAAAATTCAAATAGCTAAATGATCTTATCATATATGAAACAGAGATCACTTACTTAATATCATAACAATTAGAACAGCACTATCTTGCTCCATCCCATAACCAACTGTATAATCAATTAAATAAACAAATGGAATAAAATACGCCAACTGACTTGTAATACCAATACCGATCAAATATAAAAATGATAACTCTGTAAATAAATTCAAATCAAACAATTTCATTATTCTATATCCAAATAACACTAGACAATGTTTAGGCTTGTTCACTTTCAATGTTGATGAATGAGGTTCTGTACCATCATTGTCTGTGTTATAAGTAGTTGGTACATTTTCTTCTGGTATACTCATTTCAATAATACTAGATTTTGGATATAAATTATTGTAACATGATTTATGAATGGAATTATCGAAAGAGAGTAGCTCTTCCGGGCTTGGTTCTTGGTGTTTTTCATTCAATAATGAAATAGGTGATAATTGAAATGAAGAATTACTATCATCAATCGATTGATTCATACTTCGATTTTTATTCACTGTTTCGGATGAAACAATCAATGAAGATTTCGATACTATTGGATATTTTAAAGTTCCACTTATATCTGTTGGAGATTCTGTGGATTTTTTGTAACGATTAAAAGTTTGACTAGTTTTACGATTTAAATTTGTTAAACTCGCTGAATAAAATGCATCTGGTTTGTCGAAGAGAGTATATACTTGACTGGTAAACTTTTTTCGTCTAGGTCTACTCGTTGAAGATAAATTATAACTTGAATGGATATGATCATATGTAACTGGAACTGTTGTCTGTTGAGTATCAATTGAAAATTTATTGTAATTTTGTTTCTTTTGTTGATCAAACTGAGCTGGTTGACATAATTGACTTTGATTATTAATATATGATGAATGGTGTGGCTTGAATCCCTGACTTGATTTCCATAACCTTGAACCAACCATAGATGCTGAATCTTCGGTATCATTGTCAATGTCCAAAGTTGTTGTTCCTAACAGATACGTAAATGATTACTTTCACAATTAATATCAGATTTATGAAAACAAATTACTACTTAAATATAAATTCGTTAAGTTCATTCATATTCTCATTTATGTAGTTAAAACACATTATGCATTGGGAAATGAAAAATTGTATGTTAAATACAACAAAAAAGTGTTTTTATTCTTGACAATATTGGTACAAAGCAAATACACTAATCCACATTGAAAGTTATGGTTATTAGTTTATTGGCTTGATAAAAATGAACACGAAGGCTACTTACATAAACACTTCTACTTTAATGTTTGAATCTTACCATATTTACAAATAAATTTCATGACTAAGGTTTATGCTGTTATTGAAATTGGCACGCTAGCTGGTCGGAAGTAACGAACAGGGATCCCCAAATCTAAGTTTATTGTTATTTGGCATTCTTCATCTGGTATTGAGGAAATTGAAGTCTTTTAAAGCCGCGGCGTTACTTGAAAGATAGGATTCAATCATTAAAGATAAACCATAGAAATAGGACGATGATCACTACTCTTTGATTAATCAATAAGAGTAGCTTTTTATTTAGTTGATGGGTCTACTTTGCTTCGTTTTCTCTTCTATCATTTTTAAGGCCTATGTGTTTACTGAAGTACCAGACCAATACTGAACTATATCACTCTACAGAGTAAATAGATTTACGTCCTTTTTGACTTCAGTTATTCACCTTTGGAACATGATTTCAAATTGATATATATACGAGATTGATTCATCAAATGAAGTTCGCCATTTTCTAAATATTAACTAATTAATTTAATGGACTTATATCACCTAACTTTCATATTTGAAAATTCATGGAGAAAATGTAAAATATGCTCTGTTTTCATATTTATTAACAGTTATGATTACACTGGATCTGTGATATTAGTGAAGTTGAGCATGAAGTGATCATTGGTACAGTAATTTAATCGGAAATCAGCCAAACGATCAGCGCTTGCAAATGACCAAAATTTATATATATATATATATATATATATATATATATATATATATATATATATAATTGAGTGTAGATATCTTTCTGTTTTATTTCTTTCTCAGTTTCCTCGTTCAGATAGCCAGTTGGGTTAGTGCATAAGCTTTTGTATCAATATTAGAATTGGATGATGCCTAACACAATATTTGTCAAATAAGGACGTTAGATATTGATTCAGCTCCAATATTATGGAACTACTCTAATTGATTGATATGGTCTACTGTATTAGAACAAATTAGTTGCATGCTATTATGTCATTCCAAAGATCTAGATAGCCATAGATTCGATCTTGTGTTAGATCATATGTGCATATTACCACAAAATTCGAAACCAGAACCAAATAGAGGTTCAATATTATTGAATATATATCACGAACTGGCCTTCGTTAAAAAATCCTTGAAATCCAAGAGGTTTCGGAAGGGGATTCTAGATTTATACTACTATGAAGTCTCATGCTAGAAAAAAATAGCCATCCAATGCCTCTTAGCTTTCAATGGTTTTCTAACAAAGGTCGATCTACCGTGCAGACAATAAAATTCAACAGGATTTACTAACTTTCTATAAATTTTTGCAATACGCTGTGATTTTCTTTCACCTGCCAGATGATGTCAATCATTCAGTTATAAGAAACTTCCCTAAAATTAAACAAATGTATATCATCTACGGAGAATATAACATTATTTTATGGTGAGTTTTCAACTTAAATGTTCGATATTCTGTGATAATTTACCTTTTTGATTTAATAAATACTGACGTAAAGCGTCTATAAATCCAATAGAATTTTTTCTCTCTTTTATGTCTTCATTGAAATCAGAGACAAGATCATCAGGTTTATTGTTTTGATGAATGTCAGCTAACTGTCAAGTGAAATTACAATAAAATTGATCAAAATTAGTCTATTTTCATAAATTGTCTGAAAAAAATATTTAGTTAATAGTCATTAATGATTTTGAATTGTATCGGATAAATAAAAGTTTTAGTTTTAAAGTGTAATCTAAAGTATCAAGTGTTTGGAAAATATTGATGAATATACACTGATAATAGTTTGAATAACTGTTGTGCTGTATCGTAAAGTTGAATGAAATCACAGATGGTTCAAAGAAAAATGTTCTTGTGATGATGTCATTTACAAAAATTATGTAGTCTTATTTATAGCTAACTATTACATGTAATAGTCTGTCCAAAAAATAGGGAGGTACTGAGTTATTTAATAGTGTAATCAAACAGTATTAAAGGTTTTCAAGTACTCAACATAAATTGCACAATAGCTTTAGATTTAATGAGAAGTAATAAATTTCAAAAGATATTTATGGAGAATACATTTCTGCTTCAGTTTTACTAAATGTAAACTGGAATTAATATGTCAAGTTGAAAGTAACCTCACAGTTTTGAAGAGAAATTTATTCATGAACACTGAATCTATAAAACAGTAAGGAGAAGAAATCCTGAAGACTATATTGCTCAAATTTTTGAGAAATACCTATTTAGCAATGCTTCAAGTAAGTTTTTACAGTAGATGATGCAGTGGATAGCCAGGATGCAGCTGGACGATCTGGCTCTTCTATCGCACACGCGGCAAAAAATGCATGAGAAGAAGACCAGTGTATCAGGAGCCTCAGCAGAAACAGATCTCGACATACTTAAAGAGAAAAGTGAGGTTATCTGATACAATACGACATGCGCCGACCAAATCACTCTTGATGGAGATGCCTTGAAGGACGTCAAAACCTTCACATATATAGGCAGCATTATTGACAAGTATGGTGAATTTGATGCAGATGTGAAGGCGCGGATCATCAAAGCAAGGGCAGTATTTCTATAATTGAAGAACATTTGGAACTTCAAACAACTATCACCTAACATCGAAATCGGAATTTTCAATACAAGTGTCAAGAGATTTCCATTGTATGGCGCGAAAACTTGGAGAACTACGAAAGCTATCATCTCAAAGATACAAGTAATTATTAACAGTTGTCTACGCAAAATACTTGAATCCGTTGACTAAACACTATCAGAAACAACTTGCTGTGGGAGATAACAAACCAGATTGCAGTGGAGGAGAAAATCAGGAAGAAGCGGTGGAAGTGGATAGGACACACAATACGAAAAGCATCTGACTGCGTCACAAGACAAGCCTTTGCATGGAACCCTCAAGGTCAAAGGAACAGAGATAGGCCGATAAACACATTCCACTAAGAAATAGAGAAAGATAATAGAAGAATGAACAAAAATCGGACAGAACTGGAAGGGGAGGCCCATGACAGAGTAGGCTGAAGAACACTGGTTAGCGGCCTATGCTCCGTTGGGGGTAACAGGCGTAAGTAAGTAAGTCAGTTAGTAAGTAAATAGGTAAGTAAGCAAGTAATGATTCAAAGAAGTGTCCGAGATAAAGTGCTGCTTCGATTCATTTCATTTTGGATTTATCAGTTTAGACGCTTTTGCTGAGCACGTAATATTGATAAAGAACTTGAGAAATCTTTATCTTATCACTACTATACAAGATTATCTAAAGAGAATTATGAGTTAATCAACAGTCTAATCGTTGAACAAATGGTTAACCTCAGTCAGTTTCTACAACAAGAATCATAAAACTCTTGATTATATACAAAACCAAAAGCACAAACTCAAAGAAGTAATCAATGAGAAATGCTCCTACAACTGAGTCCATAGCTTGAACTCTATGTATTGATGAGATATTCTAATTTCGTATTTTACCACGGTTTCAAAAATTCAATATTTCCCTATGACTACAAGATTTCTAACGATTTTTATAACTAATGAATATTTTCAAAGTAATTTGTATATATTGTTCATGCTTCGCATAAATAAATATTTGCAATGAAACTCATCTTTTGAACATTGAACAATTTTAAATAACTTTCAATAGTATGAACATTTTAAACGAATATTTTGTAGTTTCTCAAAATTACTGAGTGATTTTAAAATAAATTTTGAATTATTATTTGTAATATACATCGTATTATTTTCTAAAGGAGGTTAGTTTATTTAAAAATGACAATAGTTAATTTTTATATTTCCGAGATGAACTTGTCTAGAGAACATTTTACAACATTGAAAAACTATGATCGAAATATGAAACAGTATTGAACATGTAAAGTTTATTTTAATGTTTAGGCATATATACATATATTATGTAGTATGATTATGATGAAAGGTTTTTTTGTTTCAAAAACCGTCTATATAAATTATAGTAGTATTATTTTTTGTGAATAAAATTATTCAATTTGTGTTTTGGAAGTTGATGAGTTACACAATTCATTTGGTACTAGACAGATTTATGATTATTTCGGCTATATCATTCAGTTATATTACACCCGACCAATTATATAGATGAATTAGTTTTCGTAGAATTTATTTAATAAACAAAACATATGCTCCAACTGAATCAAATACATTTTTGAATGTCATGTTATCGATTAAGGTAGCTGGAAATGGAGTTAGAAATACTTAGGTACACTACCTATATCAATATGCAATCATGGGTTTATTAGGCTTTGATTGAAACAAAGCTAGGAATATACAAACTGCGAAAAAGCATCAGCTTATTAAGTCACTAACTAATACTTCAAACTATGTTTGTGAATACTGATAACCAGATTGGGGTCGGGTCTATAACCACTGTTAGTTGCCGGAAACTTTGAAAAATAGCTCAAAACCAGTTGTAGTACAACAGATACATACATACAGTCCTTGTATAATCCTTGAATTTATTTCTTCTCGAAATATATTCTCGATTGATATATATATATATTTTTTTTTCTACTGTCATACACACTGTTACTACTTCTGCCATCTTGATATTCAGCTTGAGAATTTCATGATATAGTCAAGTAGTCTGTCATAAGTAATTTAACGCCTGGCAAAATTATGCATCGATCAAAGTTAGTGCATCACATGAACACAGCTAAATTGGCCAAATCAGGAACATTTCATTGAGACAGCTGTATACTGCATAGTTTGTACATTTATTAAGGTTATCATATATAACAACTGAAGTAATACACAGTTATGATTCATTTGTTGTTAATGAGAGAATAGACTAATTTGTATGGAAAAAAAATTTAAGAGAACTGCAAAGTAAAAGAAAGATTGTACACAAAGTTAACAGGTAAAAATCATTTATTTTTAAACTTACATCAACAGTTTTATTTTGGGCTTCTTCAGGTGACTCAGTTACATCTTTACCAGTATGCGTAATTTCTGGAATAGTTTTTATCATTAATATTTGATCAGATGTAGATTGTTTTGAATTTTCTGTAACAATAGATTGTTCAGTTAAACCTGCATCATCAACTTGATTATTTCTAATGAATGGCTTAATTGCCAGTGATGACAATATTGTTAATAAGCTTGCACCTAATGAATACATTAATAGACTAAAACGCCATCCTTTAATAGGTATAATCCAATTATATAAAACCGGTACTAATAATATACCGACACCTGCACCAGACATTGCTATACCGGATGCTAGACCACGATAACGATCAAAATAATAATTGACTGAGACTATGGCGCATACAGTTAGAATACCAAAAGCTGAACCTACACAAAATTAAGAAACAAAATTAGAATAGTCAGTGATAAAATAAATAAATGAATAGAAATTTATTGAGTGCTTAAGATGTACCTGGAAGTTTTCTGATAAGAACAAAGTAGTACTCGAACAAGCGATTCACTAACCAGTAAGCTGAGATCTTTTGGTTAACTTCAATCGAATGTTGTATGTTTCAGAACTCATCCTTAACTGATAGATTTTACAGTTTTCGTGACTGTAGGTGCAATAGGAAATATTGCAACTAAACTGAAATAAATTCTAGTTCGATGTAACTCAGTACTACCGTGACCAGTGGAGTTCAAACCTGTCGGGTGTAGGCAGTAACTACCATAGACAAATGGGTGAGGTCGCGCGAAATCTCCAGATCAATCATAGTTAGACATTAACACCACTGGATGCCGGTCCAGTGGTCCACAGGTTAGGCGTTCGAGGGCAAGACCGAGGGTCCCAGGTTCGAATCCTGTGAGGTGTAGGAGTCGTGGATGCGCACTGACACTGATGAGTCCCACACCATTACGAAACGGCTGTCCAGTGCTTCCAGGTTCCTAATGGTGATCTAACAACGATTGACTGATGATTTCTAATGTGTAAAATCACCAATCTCCATAACTTTAATTAGAAATGATGAATTAAAATTTCCCTACTTTAAATTTGTTCAAACTGATCATTTGTCGTTGGTTATGTGCTCGTATACACTCACAGCTTTTGAAAGTTTTACGAGGCCAAGTATTATAAAATGCAAACAAAACCATTACAGTGGTAGCTATATGTTTCATTTTGCTAGTTATTTTAACGAGACAATAAGCGATTATATTGAAATTCATGAATTAAATATGTTTTTCCTTGGAAACATGTCACACAGAACAAAAACTGGGTGAAAAAGACAACTGATCAAAATCGAGACCTTTTTTACCAAATCCTTTTTGAAAGATTCACAATTTAAATGAATACAAAATAAGAAAATGTTTCAATATTACATATTTCATGCTGAAACGAGATTGAATCATCGTCAAAATATTACACTAATTAACTGAAATCATATTTAAACTCAGCTGTCTGTGTGTGACAGCAGTAAGACGTTTCTTCCGGACAACCAGCATCTGCATTGATGCTGCCTTCTCACAACAGAAGGAAGGGGTTGGAAAAGGTCGACCCTAAAAATGTCAAACATCAGCTTACCTCATGGATTTCCGTCTTCGGAGCTAAGGCAACTTGAAGAGCTGAGCTAACACTTTAAAACTTCCCATAGAAAGGCTATGCGTGACCGGCCTCAAGTAGTTGTGCGTTAGGCTCTGTGATCACTCTCCCGGGTCGCTCAGACCAATTTCAACCTGATTTCTTATTCAGGTTCCTCAAGAAATACACTTTCACTGTGTGAGCAACCGGGAAGTGACAACCGCACTTATACCCGTAAAATCCCACGAAACCAAATCGGTCACAATCAAATCCAATCATCCAATTGGAGCAACACACATTTTTGTCAAATAATAAATATGACCAATAGAAATAAATTTAGAGAAATAAAATTCAGCTTGAAATTTATACATCAGAATACAGAAAATAAGAAAACTACTATCAATTAACCTGATATTACTCCGTAAAATATTGTGATAGCATGGATATTAGTTAGATAACTTGCTATTGACATTCCAAGGCCAAGTATTAATGCTCCAAAACAACCACTAATACGAAATCCAAACATTTGAATAAGTGGACTGACAAAAGCACCTAAATAAAACAAAGAAAATTCTCTAATGAACGAAAATTAAACATACAAAAATAACAGGTCAGATATATATATATATATATATATATATATATATATATATATATTCTTTCTAGAAAACGATCATTTCTATTGATTACACTGACCATCTAATTATTTATTTGAATCTATGACTTGTTGGTTGAAAAGTAAACTTCAGTAAATGTTGTCAAAGTATTAACAATTTTTCCATTTGACCACTCACTATCTCTGTTTAACAACTAACTCTTTAGGCAGAAAACAGTTTTACATTATACTAATAGCAAAACTCCCCTCCAAAAAAAAACAGAAAACCTTTTCAGTAACATGTTGTCATTCATTAGTAAACAGTATACACTGTGAGTAATAATAATAATAATAACACATACCAGTGCAAAGAAAAAATCCCGGTTGAATAGTTCCTGGCATTGATAATACTGTTTGTGAATAATTTTCATTGATAAATGCTTGATCATTTCGTAACGACAAATATAAAACTCCAAAACCACCGAATGTTCCATCAATTATTAACTGAATCATAAATGATGATAAAACTATGATCCAAGCCCAACCACCATCAGTCTGGAATAAAAGATAAGATCATTGTTATTGATAAATTTCATCTTACTTATAAACTGATCTAAATGTGTTGAGCTGCATTCTAGTTGATGCCAGTCAGTAGGATTCATACCAGCAAGTCACTTCATGGAGTAAAACAAATCGATTTAACAATAATACACGATAATTATTAGATGAAGTTTTCTAGGATTTGACAGTTCTTCAGTTATAAATCATTTCCCAAAATACTTACAGTTAATTAATGCAATGTGGTTTTTAATGTATGAACAACATGATACTTATTTTCATTGACTGTTTAGCAAATTTGGTCGCAGGATATTAATACTCATTAGTGAAGCTTTAAATGTCTATGAGACATTTTGTATAGTATGAAATGCGTGATCAATGAAATTTTACCCTATTGAGACGATGAACCAATCAAGGTTAAATGACTATTGAAAACCAAGAAACTTTGGATAGTTTATCATTGAACAATATTTGAAATATCTAATCAGGTTACATATAATTGGAACTTTTAAAATACTATTAATAACACTGATGCGTACACGATGTACTTGGACAGGTATTATTTGGTTCATATGTTTCATTTAGAAATCAAGTTTATTAAATAATGCATATTAAACTGAAAGCTTTTACTTCATCTAAGCAATATGAGATTGATCTCAAAAGTGTAATAGTTTTCTTAAGTAGACGGTAGTATGTATCATTTCTCTATGGTTAACCCATAAAACAAATACCCCTGTAATCGATACCAAAAATTTGACAAAATAGCTATAGGATTCAGGTTCTGTTAGGAAGGAACAATCTCGAAACTTAGTAAGTCCATGACAATTGTTTATCAAAGAGGTTTGATCTCATGATATTGCCTGTTATCGCTCAGGTTTTGACATCCAAATATATTGCACGTATTGTCTAGTCACGTAGACCCTTAATAAAAATTTCAAACTGACTGAAAAAATCCTATTAGGATTAAATGACGAGACTAATATGATACTGGTTTTATTGTTCAATGATCAACCGAATGACGACCACAGTGAATAAAAGCCAACAGTTACTAATCTATCAAAGGTCTCAATATTAAAAAACAATTCAACCATTCTAAAAGTGACAGTATGTTTATGCTTTATGTTATATATATATATATATATATATATATATATATATATATATATATATATATATATATATATATATATATATATATTGGTCCAATTAACTTCTCAAAAGATTTAATGAAATCAATTTCCTAATTATCACACTGATAAATGGTCCAGTCTTAGTTTTACTTACAAACTAAGATTAATTGAACAATGATTGAGAAACAGTGGCTATAATGAAATCAAAATCAATTGGTGTGTATGTTTCACTTTGGAAAACAAGGGATATAAGGATATATATATAGCAGTTAGTAACATGAAAAGAGTGTATCAATAAATCATGGACTGATTAGAGATTCATAATACATCACGTTAGTTAGCAGATTAACTTTAGCCCACCTGCTTAAAGACCTGATGTCAATCTGAAAGGAAGTAAGTGCCATCATACATATGTTATGGTTGTTAGTAAATCATTTAATTTCGGTTGTCAAACAAATTTAATCCTTAAATACGATCGATTATAAAATGACAACTATTTCCAGAAGTTTAAAAAGTATACACAGAAAAAGTTGTGTTATATTTTTTATTCAGGTGTAGTCTATGTTTATGCATAGTCTGTGTTTAAAGTAACATTAATAGAAATCCTAGATATATATTACTATTCTAGTATTCCTCTGTTCAGGTTCATGGTTTTTTAAACACAAATAAAATATTCTACATTTCACATTAATTCAGTTTATCTTTTTACTAAATGTACTTATTTATATGAAGCTACGTGAGCGAATGATAGTAAGATAAGAAACATTTTAACTATGAATTCAACAGATATATATTCAGATTACCGTTTCCATACTTCAAAACAGTGATTTCAATGGTACATGAAAACGTAACTGCGAAATTCCCCTCTAACTTTCCATTCCATTATAGCAACTGTTATAAACAGAAACCCAAAATGGATAGCAAAGGAATCCAGAATGCACGTTTCGTCCTATTCTGGACTTGCTAACTGGATGTACTTGCACTTCAGAGTTGATGTCCGCTCCAAGACTCAAACCAAGTACCGTTCGTTCAAAGCATTATCGCTTTATCCATGTAGCAACTGAGGTTCGAAGTGAACATCAATCTGAGATACAGATGCATGCTGCTAAAGAGTACTAAATAAGACGAAACGTGAGTTCAAGATTACACTGCTATTTAATACCTATCTCCGCTTATAATACTTGTGACCTAATAGCTATATCAAGGTGATCTGCATAGTATACACATATGCCAAATGAGAATGATCAAGTGCAGTCCTAAAAATCGATAGGAAGATTCGTACTACCAATAAAAATAAAGTGACATTTACTATTTTAAAGTAATGAACAACAGCTAGTCAACAACAACATAGAACTTCGTACCAACGTATACAGAGATGCAACTGTCACTTCAAATCCCATATCGATAGAGGTAATAGAAGTATTAGCAGTAATTGGAGAGATTAGGGTTCGAAGATGTTATTCAAGAAGTAGAATATAGTGAAAGAAACTTAATAGAAAAAGATGAAGGTGATGAGAAACTAAGAAGTTTAGGATTTGAGAGAATGAAATAAGTGAATGCGCCTGCGCCTTTGTAAACGGTTTTGCGCCATGTCACTCAGGGTCTCTAACCATCTATTACTATCATCCCGCGGATCTCAACCAGGTAGTCGACACTTACCAACATGGCTCAGTCCAGTTGTCAGTGACTTCATGGATTTGTGACATATTTTTCATGACCGCCCCTAGCTTTCTTCCAACTTATTCCTGCATCGCAAAACATAGCTTGACGAGGCAGTCGGTGGTTAGGCATACGCAACACCTGTCCTAACTACTTCAAATGATGAAGTTTCAATACTACTGCTATTCTTACCTAAGACCCGTTTCCTAACGACATCACTGCTTACTCGGTTGTCTCAGGAAACAAGAGCAATGCTTCGGAGACAACTATGATCGGAAACCAACAACCTACAAATATCTTCTACTCTGACCGGCCATGTTTCGCCACCATAAAGTAGGCCGGAGTGAACTGATGCGCAGAAGACTAGTTCTTTAGTTCAAAAAAGTAATGAACGGTAGGTTTTGTATTTTTTTGTCAGTTCAGGTACCTGTTTACTTACATTCTCCTAATAATTTATCAGTCCTTATAGCACAGATATTAGTTGTTTAAATTTCATTCAAAAATTTAAAACATACAGTTCACCTTTAATGAACAATTATGATAATCTAGAACAATTGAATAGGTTTAACTAACAGTTATATTCATTTGTTTGCAGTAATAGTTAGATGAATTAGTTTGCTTTTAAAGTTTGTTTTTAGCGGAAAAATCAATTAAATCTAGGTAATACCGGACACTTACACTGTCTTGATTAAAAAAAAAGCTCTCTGATAGTACACATCGATTCAATGATATTTAATCGAACTTATTATGATTGATGAGCCGCGAAGAAAGCACTGTACCAGTTGAGCTATCGATCGAAATATTTGTTTTTTGAAATATCTATTCAATTCTCAATAATTTGCAATTATTATTTATGAAAAAGATTATTGATTAAGTTACAAAAAGATCATTGTATTGGTTGAAGAATCTCAAGATTTTAAATTCAATAAATCTTGTTCTTCACAGGAAAGGAAAACATTTACAAACGATACTATAGTTTTTATTGTTGATTTTATTTTATTTTTAAATATGCTGATTAAGTAATTGTTTTTTTTTTTTTAATGTTATTACTAATATTATAATTGTAAGTAGTAAATAGTACTGTTGCACTATTGCATTCTCTAACTAGTTAAATTTCTGATTGAATGAAAAATTCAAAGGTCAGTAAAAAAGTATTGAGTTTTATGTATTAATCATCAGTTATGAATAACAACGAAATAGTTATACTGATCCCAAGACTTTTCATTGTCTATTTTATATTAACTAGTCTGACAGATCTTCATTCCTACTGTGGTGCACGCTACTTATTAGTAGTGTATGACGCGAGTGTAAACGTAATGTCTGGCAGCAGAAGATGGGGGAAGATCAAGAAAGGAAGAGTGGGAACACAATGGAATTTGTATGAAACGCATGAATAATGAAATGTCAGACAATGGATTGAAGATTTGCAAATTAACGGTTGACGATATGGTTTTCCTATTTTACTGAGTAACTCTGTAATTTGCGATAAATACAATTCAGTTGCCCTCACCCGTGTTCTCCTTCACTACACTACCTTTTAGTATATGGAAATCAACATACCTTTAATCAACTAATGTACGTCTTCTTTAATATCCTAATATGATAGTAGATAATGAAAAAAGATTGAGAGGATTCTATTCAGGGTGAAATCGTTTACTCTCTAACTACTAGGCTATTTGATAGGAAAACTAATTTGAAAGATATAAGTGGCAGTAAAATATCAGCCAAATGAATTTTCAATTTCGTTTTAATTTGTATTGTAGCAAAAAAAGGAATGAATATGAATCAATATTGGTTTGTATTGTTAGTCAATGAATAGTAGTGAATGATAACTAACTTATTTCTTTTAAGATTAATGAGCATTGAATAAATTAGTTGGTCTTAGAAAAAAAACCCAAACCAAATGATCAGTTTAACTTATACAAGTTATATTGACCAATAATACACTTACTTATAAGATAATAATATACTTTCAATGATTTAGGAAAGGCGTTAATAAAAAATTTGATTTTTATTAAATGACTGTTTTTGAATTGACTGAAATTGTTCAGTAAGAAATCAGACTGACTATTGATGTGATAATCATAATAAAGGATTTGCTTAATTCGACAACTCAGTCTAGTTGTCATATGGTTAGGTTTAGTCAATTGGCAATTCTAAACCTTGTTGGTACACTGCAACTAGACCGGTATAATTCAGTTAATAGTGAAGGTTATATATTATTATTATTATTATACTGAAATGTCAGAAAGATTAGTAGTAGCCTATAGAAATAAACACATGACTTTTGAAAATGATTTCTTGATACCAACAAAGGTAGATGATGGTTAGTAGTGGGGATTGAGGACAAGCATTTCATCCTATTTGAGACACGTTAGTTGGATATTTATCTGTATCCCAGAGTTGATGTTCACTCTGAGGCAAAACAAACATCCTGGATCTTCCAGCTAGTCACTCTCAATCTTTCCTACCAATGTCTATTACCCAATGGCAATATTGAAGCAATCGATACAGATTGCATATCTGTCAAACAGACTGATCAATTACAGTCCTGAACATCAGTGCAAAGGTTCAAACAACCAATGCTGAATGGATTAAACTCCTTGATACTACTTTGTTTCGGAGTAACCACAATGATAAAACAAAGTCAGTTCTGCTATACAGAAAAAATTCATCAAACAAATCAATAATTAACTTATACTTTTACTAGGTAAAACCTAAAACTCTAGACATCATTTTTTTAATGAAAAACTAATCATTTTTGTCTGAAGATAATCCGTAAAACGTGAAAATATGTCAAAAAAGATTTATTAATACTTGATAACATTTCTCCGTTATACACAATTCTATGTGTAACACTTGGTCAAGTTTAGAAAACCATAGCTCAGAGTAAAATTAAATTATTCTATTGTTTACACAAGTCTACAGCTTTGATATTCTCTCATGTAGCTCAATTTTTAAGCGAAAGTGAATATTTATATGAGTTTCTATTTGAATAGCCGCACACAGAATCACTAGTCCTTACAAAATGTGTTACTAAATGACGAATCAGTTAATAGAACATTGATTCAAGTAACCATAGTCTAATTAGTACAGTGAGATGAAATTGTCAGAGCGAATCCCAAAGTAGTAGTGAATGTTGAAACAGTATAAATGAATGCCAAATACATAACCGATTCACATTAGGCTGAACATTAAACGATCTAATCTGTAAGCCATTGTTACATCTTGATAAAATGATCCATTTTCATCGGGGAAAATTTTTTTTTCAGTTTGTGGATAATAAAATAAGTTGGAATCTCCATTAGGTATTAGGATTTTTAGCTTATATATCATATATTCATGAAAACTAGCGATTGGCCACTTTTCAGACTATAGTCTAAAAATAAAATTTGCAATTTTCTGGAATACTGTTTGAGCAAAACTTAAAATCAATACTTATTTACTATAAGTTTTCTATTACGAAGTCTACTGGCCCTATTGAACGTTACAAAGAATACTCACAGTGATATTAGTGTAAGTATTTTTGCTTGAATCACTTAACGTTAACACAACAAGATGATAGTTGAAATGCTTAGTAAAATCTCTAAGTAGTATATAGTACAACTGAGAAAACTCATCATAAGCGAGAACATATTCTTTGACTGTTTCTCCATTCGATAGCATAAATGTTACATATGTAGATGCTAGTTATGCAAGTATAAGCATAAGATGGATAAATAGCATTTCTACAGATCAAGATCCTCCTTTATTCGGGGATCTGGGCGCAGGCCTTTTAGGTACTATACTGTGCATGAGAAGATATTAAACATCATACGGAATTCTTATGATGGATTAAACTGCAACATCGTGCACGGTGGACAGCTCAAAGACTTGCTCTAAGTGAAGATTGGTGTCTCATCCTTACACTTTCTCCTGGTGGTCAATTGAATTATGAAGACGTCGACATCTCAGGGGAAACACGGAATACGGTGGACAGCTCGGAAGCAGCTAGACTACCTGGACTTCGCAAAAGATCAAGCCTATACATCCCAAACATAATAACAAATTCAAGAGAAGATGACCAGTGTATCAGCAGCTTCTGCAAAAGTAGGTCTCAACATATGCAAAGAGAAAAGCAAAATCCTCTGATGCAAAACAGCATGCACCGACCGAATCACATTTGATAGAAGAACTTTGGAGGATGTAGAAACCTCACATATTTGGACAGTATCATTGATGAGCAAAATGGATCTGATGTAGATGTGAAGGTTGCGAAGGAAGGGCAGAACATTTAGAACTCAAAAAAACTATCAACAAACACCAAAGTGAGAATTTTCAATACAAATGTCCAGACAGTTCTACTTTATGAGGCAGAAACCTGTTAAACTAAGGAGGCCATCATTCGGAAGATGAAAATGTTTACTAACAGTTGTCTACGCAAGATATTGAGGATCCATTGGCCATACAACATCCGCAACAGTCTACTATCGGATAAAGCAAACTAGATTCCAGCTGAGCAAGAAGTGAGGAAGACGAGTTGGAAGCGAATAGTACACACATTGTAGAAAGCACTTACATGCCACACAAAGCAAGCCCTAACTTCAAGGTCAAAAGAAAAGCGGGAAACCAAAAGACACACTGTGCTGAGAATTAGAGACAGGTATGAAAAGAATGAATAGCAATCGGGTAGAACTGAAAAGTATGACCCAGGACAGAGTAGGTTGTAAAGTGCTGGTCAACTGTCTGTAATCCATAAAGGGTAACAGTAGCAAGTGAGTAGGTAATGTGGAGAGTCGGAAGGTATTATCAGTAATAAGTGTATACCGTACAACTATACTTCAAGCAGTTATTCACAATTAAAATCTAACAGTGATCGCCATTTCTGAACTTTTTGTGAATTTTTTTCACGAATTCGATGTACAAGGATAGATGATATTTTAAAACTGCTATTCTATCCCGTTGAAATTCGCCTTCTGTCTACTACCATAAACTATATTATGAGACTAATTTTCTAATTCATTTCGAAAGAAATTAAGTCTATTGGCCTTCACATTACTATCATAATAATCACTAGGATGATCAGTTGTTAAATAACCCAACGAAACACTTGTCACAGAAAGATTAAAATAGAATGTCAATTGTTAATTTATAAACTTCATACAACTTTATTATATCAACTCACTTTGGATGGATGAATTGTCTCCTTCTTCTGAATTACTTCACAATTTGATTCATTGTGCAATGATTTTGAAACATGAAAACAAGTCATCTTTTAAGCTTCCTCTTTATAAAACAACAGACTTTAGAATAACTTATTTCAAATGATTTAAAAAAAAAAACAAACAATGACTTTTCTTTACATAGAATTAATTTGAAAGGATAATCATTTTAACCTTGGCAAAATCGATAAATTCTGTAATTTGGTTGGTTGAATAGTTAGGACATGTTACAAGGTTAGATATGTGTTCGTTAAAATAAATAATGATTAAACTTGGAATAATACTATAACTATAACAGGTCAGTTAATAGGAAAAATCTATTGTAATATATTATATATATATATACTTTTGACTGGGATGATTTTGAAACTTGATGAGTTCATGTAGAACAATAATCGTTATATTGATTGATTATCAATGTGAAAGATTTTTCAGAAAGATAATTCATTTCTATTATATTAAACTGATTAACTAATAATTATGGCATTATTCGATTATTTGCGATCGTTAACAAAAAGTTATAATTTACTTACAATCATTACTTCCTATAATTTGTTAAAATAGTGGGTTTTTTTTCATTGATAATCCTCATCAGAATGCATTTGTCGCATGTATTTCTTGGTTATTGATCTTCTGTAAACGGGGTAATCTGTAAAGTAGCACGTTTTCTAAGAAAAATAAAATGGATGAGGCTCATAATTTCGTTGTTAAATGAGAAATAGTAGTAGTAAGAAGTGAAATTAAAAATTAGGGATATTGATATTGGGATTATTTGCTGAATAATGCCCTGTTTTGTTTGAATAGTTATCCTTTAACATCATTTACTGATAATTCATAAACAGGTCTTATTATTATTAGTAGTAGTGGTAATAGTATTAGTGTGGTGAATGAGAACACAGGTGGGACAACGGGATTGTATTCAACGAAAATTACAGAATTACTCAGTAAAATCGGAAAACCATATCATAAATCGTTCATTTGCAAGATATCAGTTCATCCTATGGAACTGGACTGTTCCTGTTGCAAAACATCAATCCATTGTCACTATTCATTCATTTCATACAAATTCCATTGTGTTTCAACTCTTCCTTTCTTAATCTCCCCCATCTACTGCTGCCAGACATTACGTTGACACTCACGTTATATACTACTTATAAGCAGCTCGCACCACACTAGTACTAGTATTAGTATTCAGAAATCACAATTTTAGTTGCCCTAAGCCGTTTGATAAGTAGTTGTAAGACATTTTCATAACACTGTTTTATACTTGAGATAGTAAATTCTGATACTCTGTCTTGACTTTTCTATGTTGAATTTTCGAATTTGTAATCAGGACCATGTTTCAGTACAATAATGTCAGTCAGTCAGTTGCAACGTAGAACTACGTGCGTATGTACATAAGTTCATGTTGGTGACTTTCATCTCGCGGACCCCAACCAGGTAGCCTACATCTATCAACATGACTCAGTCCACTAGTCAGTGACTTCATGGATTTCTGCAATGTTTTGGTCTGGCTGCCCCTAGCTTTCTTCCAACCTACTCCTACACTACAAAACATCACTCGTCGAGGCAGTCGGTGGTTAGTCATACGTAATACATGTCCCAACCACCTCAACTGATCAAGTTTCACCACTTCATCTATTGATCTGCCATCCTTACCTAGTAATCGTTTCCTAACGATAGCATTGCTTACTCGGTCGTCCCAGAATACACGAGCAATGCTTCTTAAGTCCATGACAAGTGGACTGAGTCATGTTGGTAAGTATAGACTACCTGTTGGGGTCCGCGAAATGATAGTAATCAATGGTTAGAGACCTTAAACGACATGGTTCAAAATTGTTTGCAGTGGCGCAGCTGCATCCACTCTTTGTGTTCTCTCAAATCCAAACCTTCTGAATTCTTCATCATCTTTATCTCTCTCTTTCTAACTTTATCTCACTGAATTATACTTCTTGAATAATATCTTCGAACCCTAATGTTCTACATAACCACTATGGGATTTGAACTGACAATTGCGTCTTTATGTGCTAATTTGGTATGGAAACTTGTACTGATGTACATACTTACGAAGTTCTACGTTGTAACTGACGGACGGTTGACCCAACTTTATTGTCTATGAATGATGATGAATGAATAATTCATAAAATATACTTCCTAATGACATGCTACCAGTCGATGCATACAGAACCCTACGTAGCACCTTAAATTGTTAAGAAGGAAAATGCATTAGTCAGAATCGATCCCATTCGGAGTTTCCTTCTGCTAGTTATATCTGTTCACCAACTAAACGAAGGATAGTAACCGTGAATTTTGTCACTTTCCAATTAAAATAGAATGCATCTAACCACTACTATTGCTTCTAGAGTAAACCCTATACAATATCGTAACATTACAATGCTATAACCACCAAGACAATCTTATCGTTAGTGTTGATCGAATAGAAACATTATGCTGATACAGTGTCCTTCAAGTTAGACGACTTAATTATGATGCTTTTATTGTGGTTCTGAACATCATGTTGTTGTCCGCATGAGTAATTAGCTGAATTGAAAATATTCTATAGTTTTTTAACACTACACATAATTAGTAAGTAGTATAATTTGCGGATGAAAATTTACAAGGAATGATAAATGCTTATAATTGCTATGCTTACGAGGATCTTAATGTGACTAGTTATAGAGAACAGGTTGCATATGGAACTATTTCCTTTTCTTATTCTATTTATTTAGTTCATGCATTATATTACTGTGTGATACAGATAATTTAACTATTCAATAGTAGAAAAACCCATCAGTTAGATAAATATTATAATATTTGTAACTGAAGACACCAGCTTTGAAGAAATAAGAGGCTTATAAATCTACCAGTTTGAATAAAGCTATTCAAGTTAAATAAACGCAAGTTTACAAACTAAGGTTACAGAAAAATCCTGTATCCTTGAATGTATTTAAATCTCAATAAAATTTTTTTATAATACTTACACCCACTTCACCATTAGTCCAGTAGCTATGGTTTCATTAGTTCGAGTCAGTAAACAAACTGATTGAATACTTATTTAAATTGTTTGATCATGAATCTTTCAAGTGTTTAGTAATCTACGTTTGTATATCACTGTTAGGATAGAAACGGAACCATCGAATTCGCTTTCTCGAAATGATATACAAATACGCTAAACTGCACAACGATTTCTTCTACAATCAGTTATATTATCCAGCAAATCATCTATTCAAACTATAATTTCTATACATAAAAGCTGTCACCTGAAATTGACATAAATCTGAATTAAGGCAAATTTAGAAAAGAGTTCATAATGACTGCATAAATGTCCCTAATCTTCTCCATTACTGCTAATACTTCTATTATTGCTATCACTCATGGATTTGAACTGACAGTTGCGTCTCTGTGCTGATGGGGCATGGCAACCTGAACTGATGTACTTACGTACGAAGTTCTGTGTTGTATCTGTCTGTCTGCATAAATGTAACGATTACAAATTATCTCATTTGTATTTGTCAAATGGTTACATCATCTTAACAATATCTTTGATTATAAATTCAGATTTATTTATTTGTTTTCTTTTGGGAGTGTGGGGGGGGTGAGTTTCACTATCTTTTATTATTTCCGTATTTATTAACTTCAGCAAATGTCTAGTTATGTCATTTTTCTCTGTGACACAGACATATATCAACTAGGACATTGAAAAAGAGTATATTCGTAAATATCTTAACGTTTAAAGAATGAAATCAACATTTCACTCGGTAGTTTAGTTTGAACTTCGTCAAGTGGCACATGATCAGAATCACTGAACATCATAAGGATTCATAAAACTGAAATATGTACCAAAAATGACTTTTCGGTAATATAGAAATATTCAATTTGAAATTTAGTGTGGTTATTATGAACCACTTAGAGTAAAAAAGTAATAAGAGAAGAAGTGTGCAGATCTGATGCAGATTAACCATTGACTGTAGGTTATAATCAAGGGATAAAATTAATTGATTAATTTGATTGATTACGCTATCCTAGTGGAATAAGAACAAATTGCTATCTATGCGCTTAAATGCACGGTTTTTAGTGATGCATACTAACAATGGGATCTAACGATAGTTGAAGCAAATTTCTTAATCCTCAGTAAAATGGATCGCTGATAACACAATATTCATTAGAAGAAAAAAAACAGAAATCCTTCAGAAAAGGTTTAATGTCTTACAAAGAAAGACCGGCAGCAGAAACCCTTCTTCAGTATATATAGGCAAGCATAAAAAATCTAAATAGACGAAACGGAGTTATAATAGACTAAGGTAAAACTATTGATTAGTAAGTTGACATAAAGTTATTATTTTAAGAATTATTCAAGTTTGTCAATGAAGCATAATTACACAACTCTCGAACCAGATACGTTCTAGTCAATCGGTAGCTTTCTGAAAACGAAACTATCCAAAATAAATAAGAAAAAAAAAACAACTGGGATTGAAATTTCTTCCAAATAATATTTTTACATCTTTTTTATATTGTAAATGAGTAAAAAAATACCAAGAAGACTATGTACAAAGAATTCCAAATATTCAAAAATATTATAAGCTAATTTTTAATCAATTCCCAAATGGATCATGAATTGCACATACACAATTGAAATGATATTGCAAAGGGATGCCAGATCGAGTTTTTACATCCACTACTTGGTTATGACTATCTCGTCTAATTAATCGTGCAAGCTATTTTTGAAAAGAGAAAAACAAACGTACAACACTGATAATAGGACAAATAAGAATTATCTATACCTGATAGATAATTTGTTGTTACATCACAACCATCTTATGGAATTTTTAATGAAATGCGATGATGACATGGTAGGTGAAACATTTAGCTTTCAATCAGTAGGTTGGAAGATACTCAGGAGCGGACAAATTAAAACATGGCACAAATCGATGAAGTCACTGACAAGTGGACTGAGTCATGTTGATAGATACAAACTAACTCCTAGCTGTGGTCCACGAGACGATAGTAATAGATGGTTAGAGACCTTAAACAACATGGCTCAAAATAGTTTGTAATGGTGCACAAGTGCATCCACTCGTTGCGTTCCGTGAACTTTTAGTTACTGCCTACACCCGACAGGGTTGAACTCCACTGGTCACGGTAGTACTGAGTTACATCGAACTAGAATTTATTTCAGTTTATTTGCAATATTTCCTATTGCACCTACAGTCACAAAAACTGTAAAATCTATCAGTTAAGGATAAGTTCTGAAACATACTACATTCGATCGAAGTTAACCAAAAGATCTAAGCTTACCGGTTAATAAATCACGTGTTCGAGTGAACGGCCTATAAAAATTACTGATGATAACTTTTTACAGCTTGTTTTTAACCATAAGCATAAAACTAGATAACAATAACTGATAAGAAGAATTACATAACGACTGGATTTACTACGCTAAGTTATGATCTATGTGACTAATGAAAAAGAATATGAATAACACTACATACCTGACCATTTCTTTCTCCATTTACAATCATTAAAACTGAATTCATTTCATGCGGTATAATTGTTTGTAAATACTTTACAGGCAGACCTAAAAAAAAAATTGTGCATTATAAACATGTTTTATCTAAAGAATACCTTCAATTATTTGACCAGATTCTGTTTTACAACTGCATCGATTACCATCAATTGAAACAATAATTAACTATTTAAGAGGAAAAGAAAAGAAAAGAAAAAAAGTAAATACAATTACACTTGATGAGTAGGCGAAAGGATACCTTTTCTTTGTGATATTTTCCACTACAATAATTTCGATCTAAGCATCGAACAATTAATTTCGGTCTTAACCATGATGTACTGCCAGACGGTCTATTTGGTTCGCATCTACAGAAACGAAACAAAAAAAAATAACATCGATGATATCAAGGAGTAATGATATAATTAATTTGGTAGAAAAATAACTATTAATTTTTACAATCTAAGAAAACATTAGACGATAAACTTATGCATAAGCAACTGAATCACCAAGTATACATAGATTAACAAGATTTCAAAGACAGATACAACACAGAACTTCGTATGTACCTACAACAGTTCAGGTTGCCATACCACATTAGCACTGAGACGTCACTGTCAGTTCAAATCACATAATGATGGATATTGTAGGAAAACTACTGGTAATGGAGAATGTTAGGGATCGAAGATATTATTCAAGAAGTATAATTCAGTGAGATAAAGTTAGAAAGAGAAGGATAAAGATGATGAGGAATGCAGAGGGATTGAATTTGACAGAACACAAAGAGTGGATTCACCTGCGCCATTGCAAACGATTCTGAGCCATGTCGTTCAAGGTCTCTAACCATCGATGACATACGTCTCGCGGACCCCAACCAGGTAGTCTACATCTACCAACATGACTCAGTCCACTTGTCAGTGACTTCATGCATTGCTGCCATGTTTTGGTTTGGCCGACCCTAGCTTTCTTCCAATCTAATCCTACACTGCAAAACACAGCTCGTCGAGGAAGTCGGTGGTTAGGCATACATAACACATGTCCCAACCACCTCAACTGATCAAGTTCCACTTATTCATCTATTGATTTGACATCCCTACCTAGAACTCTTTTCCTAACGACAGCATTGCCTATACGGTTGTCCCAGGATATACGAGCAATGCTACGGAGACACCTGTGATCGAACACTAATAACCTACGAATATCTTCTACTCTGACTGGCCATGTTTCACATACAAATTTTAGAATGGCGAGAATTACTCAGCAGTAGACTCGAACTTCAGTAAGCAAATGGATATCTCGCCTACGCTAAAGTTAGCGAAAGACAGTCAAGCCTTCTGTATCCGTGCTGAGATTTCGTCAGGTACTAGGCCATCAGCACTGATGAGACTTCCGAGATAAGTGAAGCGATCGACACATTTGACTACTTCACTTCCTATCACTAGTTCAACAAGATTTCAAAAGAAAAAAAAGAAATCGAAATCACTGTATCAACAAGTAATTAGGCACTTATATTAGTTACTAATCAGTTAATAGTTTTAATATTTCTCAATATTAAAACAAAGCTTTTACAGGTTCTACGATTTCCCGATTATCATAAGAAATGCATCTTCTAATAAAAATTTATCTTCAGTAAATTATTATATAGATGACGCACACTGGTGTAAGTATCAGGTTATGGAATTGCACCTACTATATGCGACACGAGTAGTAATATAATATATAAATATTCACATGTATGATTGAATAGGATTTCAAGTTACTGAAATTAAATAGTTTGAAACATTTTTTTTGCAAATATATATATATGGTGGCCGATTTCTACATGTTCTTAATCTTCGTAATTAGCTCGTCCAAACAATCGTTACTAAGTAGCGTCTGACGGTCATAAATCAGAAGGTGAACTCTTATGTGATGAATACTTTTAGTTGGGACACACCAAAAAACGAGTCGGAAAAGCAGCGAATAAAACGAATGAAGCGACGTGAATTGGAGAAGGCTGCTGAGCCAACTCCTAGGATTAGAATGCGAACGAATGCGAGAAGGAAGCGGATGAACAGGCGAACCGTGTTGGAGAAGGCTAATGAGCCAACTCAGAGATAGAGTGTGACTAAGAATATTTAGTCAGACAAATATAAGACAGACATGTGGCAAGCGAAATAGGCACACATGAATAAAAGCGACGAATGATTAACAAGGTCAAATGACATGTCATGTGAGCTCATACAATCCAGACAATAATGAGAACGTATGGTACATATAAATTGTTGCTACGTAAATGGCTTGGTCGAATAAATTAATCGAAAGGAAATGTTGGATAAAAATGAGTTAGGATCTATGATGTTATTGACTGTTGAAGTGAACAATGTTGATGAGCACACACGCTTAAGCTACAATTGTCCCAATAATAGTAACCAATGTGGCCAGACACGATCAGCAACAACGTACTGCGGGAGAAAACAAACCAGATTCCAGTGGAGGAAATCAGGAAGAAGCGGTGGAAGTGGATAGGACACACACTACGAAAAGCTCCTAACTGCATCACGAGACAAGCCCTCACATGGAACCCTCAAGGCAAAAGGAAAAGAGGAAGGCCAAGGAACACATTACGCAGAGAAATAGAGAAAGATATGAGAGGAATGAACAAACATTGGACAGAACTGGAGAGGGAAGCCCAGGACAGAGTTGGTTGGAGAAAACTGGTGGGCGGCCTATGTTCCATTGGGAGTAACAGGCGTAAGTAAGTAAGTAAGTAGTAACCAGTGTATAGAGATGTTAAGTGTAGTGGTTCTAAATCAATTGCAATGGCACAGATGCATTCAATTTTGTCGTCTCAATGAGTAAAATAATAACAAGAAAATTGAACAATAGAATGATAGCTATTTGTAAGTATATATATGATTTGACAGTCAGAATATATCTTGTATTAACTTGCATTAAAGATCTAACAAGAATATACATACATCAAGTATAATAATACCATAAAGTTCCATGAATATGAAAATCATAACCTGTACACGACGGATAAGTTATCTGTGGCACAAAACTGAGTATACACATCATTAACTGGTAGTTGTCGACTACCTGGTTGGGGTCTGTGAGATGATAATAATCGATGGTCAGATACCCTGAATGACATGGCTCAAAATCGTTTGCAATGGCGCCGGTGCATTCAGTCTTTGTGTTCTCTCAAATCCTAATCTTCTGGATTCTTCAACACCTCTAGTTTTGACTTTCTAAACTGAATCATATTTCTTGAATATTTTCTAATCCTAACCTCTCCGATTACTTCTAATACCTTTACTACCTCTTCTACTATTGGATTTGAATTGACAATTATATCTCTGTGCTGATAAGGTATGGCAACATGAACTGATGTACTTACGTACAAAGTTCTACGTTGCATCTGACTGACTGAACTGGGATTTATCAACGGCAAATGATATCTACATATGATATGATGTGATTTATACATATCTCTGAAGCATAGCTTTCAAAATCTCAGATTTTTTTTGTTTGTTCTCCTACTTCTGACAAATTAAATACAACATGTTAGATTCTCTGCATAACTAACTACGAAACTGACTGACTATAGACAAATGAATTTCTTTTAAAAAATTTAACTGTACAATGTCTAAATTTGAAATTCTAACAAAAATAGAATGATGGAAGAATACCTACCATCATCTGATAGTTGGTTTCGTGAATAATTAAAGAATTTTCCTTCATCAACACAACCATGTTGACACCATGATTATATAATTTAATTTAATTTTAATTAAGCATAATAAAACATAAACAAAGATACAATTTAGCCTAATTAATAATTATATATAACAACATGTAACTATTAACTTTAATGGCTTATCCTCCTCTTTAAATGCCAATGGTTTACGAATAGAGCCATTATTCTGTGTCAATTGGTCATGTTGACTTGATTTGGATCTTGACAGATCGGAATCAAAATTAGGATTATTGGATTTCATTGATAGTTGTTGTTCTGCTGCTTCATGAGCTTTATATTCATCAACTTGATCTTTGTCTAAAATGAATTATATTCAAAAGGAAACATATAAGTTAAGTAATATTTTTTCATGTAAGCAAAGATTGAATTATTCAAACACACACAATTGTAAAACAATAATTGCTAATGCATGTTTCCAAGTTCCAAAAAAAGCTAACAAAAAAAATTTAAGCCAGAAAGTAGAATGTAAGAAAAAAATATTCTAAGTATTACACTTGTGCATTATAAATTCAGTAATTCACTACTATATGAAACCAATGTCACGTATTTAGTTTTGGTTGTTGCTGCTTGAAAGTAAAGTTTATTGAAGTAAGAGTAATGCAATCGATACAGTAAAATACTATATACATTATGCACTCTCCACTAATATTTTTTTGATTTGTAGATCATCATCTTATTATACCAACCATTGAGATAATCTCAGTATAATAAAGCTTTTTCTTTTCCATTTATATCCATCCTACTACATTAGTTACATATATAATATAATAAACGAAGTTTTACTTGAACTCAACATTTACTCTAAATCAATAACATGTTTGAAATGAATTTAAATCTGCCTGCAATTTTAACTATAATGACATCAGTAAGTTAGTTAGTCAGTCAGTCAGTCAACTACAACATAGAACCTCATACGTATGTACATCAGTTCAAGTTGCCATACCATATTAGCAGACAGAAATCGAATTGTCAATTAAAAAATTCCATAGTAGTAGAGGTAGTAGAAGTATTATAATAGTAATCAGAAATTTTAGGGTTCCAAGATATTTTATTTAAGAAGTAGAATCTAGTGAAATAAAAAACTTAAAAAGAAAAAGATAAAGGTGATGAGGAATTCTGAAGGTCAACATCTGAGAGAACACAAAGAATGAATGCACCTGAGCCATAGCAAATGGTTTTGAGCCATGTCATTCAGGGTCGCTAACCATCGATCACTATCATCTCGCGGGCTCCAACCAGGTAGTCAACACCTACCAACATATGACTTCCGTGAATTTAATAATTAGAGTAATTCTGTGATCGAGTACAAGTTATATGCATTTAAATAAGGGGTTATGGTGACTACATGGAATTACATCTCTGTGCTAATGTGGTATGGCAACATGAACTGATGGATGTACTTACGTACGAAGTTCTACGTTGCATCTGACTGACTGACTGACTGACTGACTGACATGGAATTTTAAGCGTGAGAATTTAATGAAAATTAAGTATTTTAACTAGTGCACTAAATCTCAACCAATGACCAATTGATCTTTTAGTAGAAGACCATCAAATATGAAATTGTAGTGATTAAGGTGATTCGTCGATAAAATTGATTCAGAACGATCAGATAGCATTACACAATGGTACACAGTTTTGTGAGACGCAGTTAAACAGGTGAACTCACAAGTGATGAATGTTTTACGCACTAACTTAATTTATTTAATATGACTTGATTCCTTTTATATGATGATGGTGATAATATAATACACTCTCAAAAGATACTGTGACACTCTGGAATCCATTCAATTAATCAGCAGTACTGAAATTTTTACACAAAACCTAAACTGTAAAATATTGATACGTTATAGGTGGTAGCAGACATTTACACAAGAAAAAAAGTTTACAAGCAAACTGTACAGTTAATGGTTTGGTTTAATGAATATAGTAAAGAGAAACTACAAAACGAGTTAAACAAAATACGTAAATGAATCGAAAATATACGCTTACTAATACAATTGGAATACGCAGCATATTCCTTGGCAGGAACCAAACGGACATTGTGTTGAAGTACCGCGACTGCTTCTTTTGAAACTTTCAGTCTAATAATCACACGACCGGTGTCACCGTCTAGTCCTTCTAGCTAGAGATTTGGAAAGGAATGCAAAAACAAAGGTAAGAATTGTAATATTTTAGAATGCAAAAGACTTTCACTAACAAAAGTTGTATATGCGTTAAATGAACGATCTCGTGGCAACGAATGACGAATATATCTGATATATTTAGACAGTTTATCGTAAGCTAAATAAGTGGCATAAATAAGATCAACTCCCAAGGAAACGACATAAATGGCAAATCGATTGTCTCGTCCGAAAGAAAAATTCTTAACTATTTACTCATTACAACTTGTGGCTGTAGGTACAATTCATTCCCTCATTAGTAAATCGATAGGCAATAAATAGAAGAATCTATGTTTTAAAAAGGCATAAAGATTGGAAAAGAAATTTTAATACCACTTAAAATTTAGAAAATTTATCATCTAATGTTAAAGAAAATAAATACTTATAAGAATGACGTGCATGAATTTTTTTACCACATATTAGTTAGTAAGATTTACACAACACTTTTCATGAAGGAACGAGAAGATCAAGGTGATCTCAAGTGACACTTGGGGTACGCAGAGGTTTTCACCAGTTTTCCACTTCCTTTTAGGAGATCAGGGAAGGAATCAGGATTAGAAATGGTTTTAAAGACCTGGGAGAGTAATCGCAACGCCTAAAGAACAACTGTTTGAAGCCGATCACATACAGATGTTTTGTGAGTAGCATTAGATGTGCTAGTTCCGTACATGGTAGATCATGTCATCGGCGAAAGAAATCGGAGTGCAGACTATTTTCCTATAATATCTATTTCCTACTAAGTAAGGCAATACGGTAGTAACTAACCCATCAAACTTTTTGATACACACGTATATTCTAAACTTTAGGTTTCTAATAGACTCACTAACTGTAAAATTAGACCAGGTAAAGAAACGCCAGTACGGACTCATTTTATTATGAATACTAGTGCATAATTTGTTACTTTTTTTCTAAACAAACGGTACATGTTTTTGGAAACATTTGAATACTCAGTAAAACCACCACATAGACTAGTTTATCATGTCGATTAGACTAAGACCATGCTCTAGTGAGAGCGCGTATTCGTTTGCAATTTGCTGGACGTGGGAAAAATATTGCGAAGAAACCTGTTAGTGCTATACTTAATGATGATAAAGCTAACAATATACATCTGGAATAACTAGAAAAACAGTTAAGCAGCCCTGTAAGAAGTGATGCCCACAATGAAGCAGCTTGGAATGATATCAAAAAGGCTGTGAGAACAACAGTGATTTCTGCTAGCATGGTAAACCATAAGGTTAGGGAGAAGCGGTGAATTTCGGTAGCATCTATCAAAGTGGTAGATGCTCGAAAGCTCATCCCGCTTGGTTCTGAGTGCGATGAGGAGAGGAGTCAGTTTAAGCGTAGGCTGATAAAAATCCTACGCATATATCAAGAAAAGTGGTGAGTAGCGAAAGCGAGAGAGATAGAAAAGGCAGCGGTGATAGGCAACAGTAGGCAACTATTCAGACTCATCAAGGAAACCGGTATCAGGAACCTGAATGTGGGTGAGACTACTTGCAATGGTGCAGGTGCATCCATTATTTGCTTTCTCTCAAATCCTAATCTTCTGAATTCTCATCACTTTTCTCTTTCTCTTTTTAAGTTTATTTTACTGGCTTATACTTCTTAAATAATGTCTTCGAACCCTAATCTCCATTACCGCTAATACTTCTTCTACTTTTACTACTATGGGATTTGAATTGACAATTGCGTCTCTGTGTGCTAATGTGGTATGGTAGCTTGAACTGATGTACGTACGTACGAAATTCTACTTTGTAACTAATGGACTTACTGACTGTATATGAATAACTACATCTATAGTCATCAATGAAAAGATCAAGAGATTTAAAAACTGCGATTATAAGATTCGAAATGTTAAAAAATATGCTAGCGAAAAGAACCAGTAGGGGGAAGAAATCTCTTTTCAATTAGTTTTTCATCATGGTACTATATGTATATATATATATATATATATATATATATATATATATATATATATATATATCCCAAGTCCGGATAAAGGAGGAGGGTTGGGAGACCCCATCCCGCCAAAAATCTAACTTGCCAAACCAACAGTATCCAAAATATTAGCCTTAATAATACTTTGGCGCCTAATCAAAGCTCGTAAAATGCCGACTAGAGAAAACCAGGCTGGTTTTCGATTTGGACGTAACAATATCTTCACACTTTGTCAAGTGCTAGAACATAGACACACATTCAGACATCTCCCATTAGTAATATTTCTCGACCTTAAGACACCATTTGACTCCGTTCGTCGTGAGGTTCTGTGACAGTATCTGTCAATCAAAGGTATACCAAAGAAGTACATTACTTTATACAGGATCTCTACTCGAACACTGCTGGCCGAGTTAGAGCTTACGGTAAAAGTCATCAGAACTGATTATTTCAAGCGGTGTCTGTCAGGGCATGGAATGTTCGAACTTTGTGGGCGACTGAAATACTGTTTCAAGTTGCTGCAGAAATGAAAGGATACAACCTGGTGCTTGGAATCAGCGAAATGCAGTGAACACAGGTAGGACAACTGAGACTAGCTTCAGGGGAACTACTCTTATACTCTGGTCATGAAGAGGAAAATGCTCACTTATACAACGAGTTGCACTGATGCAGCCCAGACAGACAGACAGATACAACACAGAACTTCGCACGTAAGTATATCAGTTCAGGTCGCCATGCCCCATCAGCACACAGACGTCACTGTCAGTTCAAATCATATAATGATGGAGATTGTAGGAAAACTACTGGCAATGGAGAAGATTAGGGAGCGAAGATATGATTCGAGAAGTATAATTCAGTAAGATAAATTTAGAAGGAGAAAGGTAGAGATTATGAGGAATGCAGAAGCTTAGAATTTCATAGAACACAAAGAGTGGATTCACCTGCGCCATTGAAAACGATTCTGAGCCGTGTCGTTCAAGGTATCTAACCGTCGATTACTATCATCCTGCGGACCTCAACCAGGTAGCCTACATCTACCAACATGACTCAGTCCAGTTGTTATTGACTTCATGGATTTCTGCCATGTTTCGGTTTGGTCACCCCTAGCTTTCTTCCAACCTACTACTACACTACAAAACCTCACTCGTCGAGGCAGTCGATGGTTGGCATTCGTAACACATGTCCCAACCACCTCAACTGATCAAGTTCCACTGATTCATCTATTGATTTGACATCCCTACCTAGTACTCGTTTCCTAACGACAGCATTGCCTATACGGTTTTCCCAGGATGCACGAGCAATGTTTCGGAGACATCGATGATCGGAGACTAGCAACCTACGGAAGTCCTCTACTCTTAACGGCCAAGTCTCGCATCCGTACGGTAGGACGGAGCGAACTGCTGCACAGTACACTCGTCCTTTGGTTAGCAAACGGATATCTCGCCTTCGCCATAGGTGACGAGGGTTGGCAAAAGTCAATCAAGCCTTCTGTATCCGAGCTGAGATTTCGTCAGTCACCAGGCCATCAGCACTGATGAGACTCCCAAGATAAATGAAGCGGTCAACACGCTCGACTACTTCACTCCCTGTCACTAGTTCAGGTGCCGATGCAACCCAATCTTGAAGCAACATTTTTCATTTCGAGAGTGAGAACCGCATCCCGAACATGCTTGCATTGTTGCTTAGGGTGGTCAGAAGACTGCATTTTCTCAGCGTCTTCACCAAGTAGGAATATGTCATCGGCATATTCTAAGTCAATAAGCGAGCCACCTGGTAGAAGGTCTACTCCTGAAAATTCAGACGACGATAAGGTTATTTCTATGAGCATGTCTATGATAAAATATGACGGACACCACTTGAAGTAAACAATTCCGTTGACAGTTCGCCATAAGCTCTCACTCGACCAGTGGCGTTCGAGTAGAGAGCTTGTATAAGGTTAATGTACTTCTCTGGTACACCTTTCAATGACAGACACTGCCACAGAACCTCACGATCCACTGAGTCAAATGCCGCTTTTAGGTCCAGGAACACAACGATTGTAGGACGCCTAAATGTGTGTCTGTGTTCCAGGACCTATCGTAGTGTGAGAATGTGGTCTATACAGCCACGTCCAGGTCGAAAACCAGCTTGGTTTTCTCTAGTCTGCTCTTCACGAGCACTAGTAAGGCGTCTAAGTATAACTGAGACTAACAATTTAGAAACTATATTAGTTAGACTTATTCCCCTGTGATTGTCACAAGAAGACTTTTTTCCTTTCTTATAAATTAGGACAATCAGGGATTGGGACCACTCGGATGGGATTACGTCCAGTTTCGAGATTCTACCTAAGACCTCAGTCAACCTAGCTGCTAAAACTGGACCACCATCCTTATATATCTCAAGGGTCAGTCTATCAGGACCTGCAGCTCGCCCTCGCTTCAGATTTCCTAACGCTTTCTCAACTTCATAAAGACTAGGGATTTACGTCGATTTGCCATTCAGGATGACTGGAGATCGTGGGTAACCGAAGAGTAGCTCAAGGCCATTTGAACTGATCCCTAAAGTGTTCCGTCCATCGATCCAGTCTCTTGGATTGAGAATAATTAGTAGTCCCAGCATTTTCCGAGATAGTCTCACTTACACTAGGATTCCTAATACCAGTTTCCTTGATAAGTCGGAAAACTTGTCTACTGTTGCCGATCGCCGCTGCCTTTTCCATCGCTTTTGCTTTCACCACCCACCACTCTTCACCGTCATTGCACAGGCTTTTTATCAGCCTGCGCTTAAGTTGACTTCGTTCTTCATGATGTTCAGAGCCAGGTAGGATGAGTTTTCGGGCATCCATCAGTTCGGTAGATGCTACAGAGATCCACGGCTTCATTCTAGCTTTATGGTTAACCTTACTAGCAGATATCACTGCTGTTTCCACAGCCTTTTTGATATCATTCCAAGCTGCTTCCGGATGGACATCGCTTAAATGGTCGCCTAACTGTCTTTCTAGTTCCTGAAATATATTCTTCACCCTATCATCATTAAGTAAAACCCTACGAGGTTTCCTTGCGGTATCTTTCCTACGCCCAGTAAGCCTCAAACAAACACGAGCTCGCACTAGGGCATGATCTGAATCTGAACATTTGTCCCAGAACGAGCGATAGTCCTCTATCGAACCTCTCCATATAGCGATGTGATCTAGTTTGGTCCAACGTTGAGACGACTTCGGAGGTCGCCAGGTCAAAAGATGTTTTCCTTATGCCTAAAGTTGATGTTTGCTATGAATAGGCGGTTATCTGAGCACAGTTGCAACAGACGGTCGCCATTATATGTTCTATTAGCTGCGACACCATAACATCCACCAAAGTGTCTTTCCTTTTCGCTGAGTTTACTCACTTGAGCATCGAAGTCACAAGCCATTATTACTAGATCAGAGTGTCTAACTTTTTGGAGGAGGTCCGAAAGCTTTCTGTAGAACTCGTCTTTCACCTCGTCTGAACTGTAGTCAGTGGGGGCATAGGCAGATACGACGAACAGGCAACGACGGGTGTCCCTATCTTTCCGAGTCCTTACTTTCCGGTTCAGTCGGACGGCGCACAAGCGACTTTACTGGGATCCAGTCTAGGGGCGCTAGTTCTGCCCTACGACTCAATGCTATACCTACACCAGCGAGACCCGGGGAAGCAGCTTCAGGGCTACCGGATACACGAAGAGTAAATCGAGCTGCTTCTTTGTTTTGACAAGGCGAAATCAAATTAATAACTTTACTAGGATCCTGTATGCGCGTTTCCGAGACGCAACATACATCGATGGCGCGAGATTCTAAAGTTCTAGCTAACGAAGCCTGTTGACATAATGTACGTACATTAAATGCTCCAACATGTAGTCTAGAACGGGGTTTCAGGAGACCAGAAATGATGTTTCGTGAACTCTCATCGTTTGCATTAGCGGTGCAGTCAGATAAAGGAATGTGAGAAGAGTTAGTCGTAGAGATAAGAGAGGTATTAGGGGGTGAAGGAAGGATTTGATTTTGACCAATTTGGTCTCGTGTGCTGTTACGGGTATGAGGGCAGTTGTCACTTCCCGGCTGCCCACACCGTGGAAGGTTGTTTCTTGAGGAACCTGAAAAGGAAGGTATATTGGCGTTGGTCTTAGAGATCTGGGTGTGTGACCGCAGACCCCAACCAGTATAGCTCGGCTGGGTCATTACGATAGTCAAGCCCGACCACCACGTCAAGGTAACAGCTACGGTCGGGACTGCGCAGTAGACTCGTCCTTTGTTTAGCAGACGGATATCTTAGCTACGCCATAAGTGACACAAGTTGCCAAAAGCCAGTCGAGCCCTCTGTATCCGCGCTGAGATTCCGTCAGTCACCAGGATATTAGCACTGATGAGACTTCCAAGATAAGTGAAGCGGTTAACAAACTCAACTACTTCACTCCCTATCCGTAGTCCAGGTGCCAATACAAGCCAATTGTGAGGCAATATTTTGCAAATTAAGAAGGAGAATCGCATCTCGAACATGCTTCGAATAGTTTAGAGTGGTCAGAAGACTGCACCTTGTCAACGTCTTCACCAAATAGAACTACGTCATCGGCATATTCTAAGTCAACAAGCGAGTCTCCTGGTAGAAGGTGCACCTCTGAAAAGTCAGACGAAGATAATGTTAACTCTAAAAGCATGTCTACGACAAAGTTAGACGAGAATGGAGAGAGTGGGTAGCCCTGACGGACACCTCTTGAAATGATCAATTCTGATGACTTTTACCGTAAGCTCTAACTCGGCCAGCAGTGTTCGAGCAGAGATCCTGTATAAAGTAATGTACTTCTTTGGTAGACCTTTGATTGACAGATACTGTCACAGAACCTCACGACGAACGGAGTCAAATGGTGTCTTAAGGTCGAGAAATACTACTATTGGGAGACACACGAGACCAAATCGGTCACAATTACGTCCTTTATACCTTTCTAGCATACATCGGCAAAATCTACTAGCATTGTAGATAAAATTTGTACACGCTAACGTTTTCGCAGGCTGAAATGTTGGTTGCTGTACTACTGAAATCATCTAGAGGGTATTTATCCTCCCACAATCCCTATATTCCGGTTGTAAATTTTTGATAACATTTCCCAAGTGTCCTTTATAACATTCACACCGAAGCGAATGTATAGGGAACAACAAATGGGTACCACTCTGTATCATAATCTTACAAACTTTTGAAATTCCTGCAATCTCTGGCCCACAGATTAATATCTACCTATATCTGCATTCAGACAAAGAATGACTATTGTTTCTAAAAGATTGGAAACAGTCATTTAAGTACATAAAAATAACCGTACAACTAGATTGATGAATACGCTTAAATTCAGTTAGGGGTTTTTTTTATTATTCTGTAAAGAGACAATTACAATTATGCTGATGAAACTACTCAATGAAAGAAACAACTAAAATTAGCGACACATTTCCTGTATCGTTCATCAAAACCTCTTTTTCATGCATCAGTTACACAACAAGTATGCACGGTGGTTATATACTGCAACCTGAGGTGTTTCCTACTTTACAGAAATAATTATTTACTGAAAAGCACATTCAAGAAAGTGAGACTAAGTATGTTAAGACCTGATATTCGACGAAACACCAAAAATCAGAAGAATATATTTCACTAACCGTGCCATAAAGACCCTTGTTCTTTCCCAATACAATCTGACAACGCGATCCAGGAGTCCAAGTCAGCTTTTCTATTTTGGATTTCAGTAATTCTTGCTTGGCATCTTGAAGTGCAGTTGGGTTTGCGCCAAGCCCAAGTCCTTTTGGTCGCTGAGGTAGTAAAACCTCCCTATAGGATAAAATACTTAATAAAAAAAGTACTTTTTAGATTTGTCAAGAGACTTCGGATCAAAACCCATTCCAGCTAACAGAGCGACACCGAACTTCTCAATAGGGACAGCATCATAGTTTGCATTCTCAATCTAGTTGCAGATAAAATATTGAAAAGCTCATACTTCCTCTGTAGCCTCTGAACTACTAGCATATATTTTAAGATCATAGTTCACATGACCGTTGTGTGAATCACTTGAAAATGCTTGGCATTCTAGATATTTGAAAGTATGGAGTATCAATATTTTACCTTCTTTAATTTCTTGTAACGCCTGAAGCGTAAGAGGATCCAAAGATTCAGCTGGCGTTAAATTCTGTTTCATTCGCTCCCTGAAACTGCTTTTGCTACGTTTCAGTGGTATGATAATTTCTTTCTCTTTTTGTGATATTGAACAACTAAAATAATAAAATAACAACACTTATACATGCATTTTTTTATCTTCGATTGATGTGATGAATTCCTTATCATCTTTATTGCAATTTTCGCTATCATTTGTATCCAAAGACGTCACTTTCGGGTTAGAAATCAACTGCTTCCTGCGTTGACTAAATGAGAAAGTGAGTTTGGGTTTTGAGTCACTCATATTATCTGCCAAGGTCATCTTCAGTCCTCAGTCGAGAAGAGTTGGATTAGATCCAATATCCAATATACATTCTCTTTCTCTCATGCTAGTATACACTGATTTATTTGTGTAACGTCTTTGTTTTCGCACGGTCCTAGGTATTTGGTAATGTTCAGCGAATGGCACTCTGGCCACATAACTGCACTAATTCTAGTCAGTTGGCAGTTGTTCGTGAATTTGTGTTCGTTGTTTTGAATGAGTGGGTTTGTTTCAGGGTAGTAGGAGTTTTGGATACCAAAGGCTATCACATTACTAGATTGGGGGTCCGTTGATTCCACTGTGGAAATTTATAAACTGAGAATTTTGATGCTAATCAAAAGAAGATTTCAGAACAATAAGTTGATTAATTAATAGTGAAGATGGTTTGAGTCTATCAAAGTGTAAAGATAGAAGAATAAAAATAGGGTACAATGGCGAAAATAGAAATAATACAATGGTATGTGATAAGGGTGACAGAAGACAAGTTATGAAACGTGCATAGTTCACATCTGTTTCAAGGATGAGATGTTATCCCATGAATGAGTTTGGGTTTTTAGTTCTTATCTTCAAACTGTCCACTGAGACGGCGAGGCCATTTTAACTGGGAGAGTATTCTAATATAATTCTAATGTATTCTAAGCTCAAATTGTCTTTTTCGCTTTCTAACGACCGTCTATTTATTGCGTTTATGCATCGATTATTGCAACTGAGCCAATTTAATTTCAAAGGGAGAGGTGTTGACCTAGGATGGTTCCCTGTGAAACTACTGATATTGAAAACCACTTGCCCAAGTGCACTTTACTGTATTCACCATGAAGCATTCAGTTCTCTGGGTAGTTTTGGAGCTAGCAGATTGTCGAGTAAAGGATTTTATGAGAAGATTGAATGTACTGGAAATGCCTTTCGCAAACATACGTTTAGATCCAGCTCAAAGGCATGGAGGTCATCAGTATACCAAACTCTGACATGTTTATGCATTCGCTTCAATTCCCACAAATCCAAAAAGAATGGAAGCACTACTACCCTTTTAACTTTCACCTTGTTACAAACCTGTTGCATTACTCTTTAATCGGCCGAAAGTTATTGGAGAAGTGATTAGCCGACCAAAATATAAATGTATGAGTGAACACAGTATCATTCTAGGAGCCAAACCCAGTCATTTCTCAGTGAGGAACAGCTGGACAAGCTGCAGAAAAAAATTATCCGTCCATGTTAATTTTGTTTGTAAAAGCGCTTGTCACGGTACTACATACAATCATGACGGCGGAAATTGTGGAACTTGGTCCAGTGAACATACTAATATATCAGCTCTGAAACTGTTCAGCGTACGAAGTGTTCCGCACAAAGGTTAAAAAATTCTTTACAAGCTTGAGGATCTCGACGCCAGAATTTCTTTTGCCTAACATATTTGGTTCACTCATCCTCTCTCATCTTTATTCATTACCTTTTAGGTAAAATCAGCTCATTCAAATAATTAAGGAGGACAAAGCAAATATATCGAGACTCATGAAAAGTGAAGAAAACTCGTTTGAGCCCCAAAAGATTCAACCTACTATAAGAGAAAGTGCGGTAGTTAGCGGGGTGTAATTAACTCGTCAAATCATACAATCATGAACACTTAGACAAAGAGCATAGTAAGTGTATGGCATGTACGGTAATTGCATAGAATTCACCATTGAATCGTCAACAAGGAAACCTACTGAAATAGGCGACAGATGAACCGAAAATTGTCATAAGATAATTGAACAAAGCTCACGAGTTTCGACTTCACCGAAATAGACTGTTTTTGCCAATCCACAGAAAAGAGTGAGAAGACGTGATAACGATATACTTCATACTAAATGCAGCATCCTACTTGGACATTGTTGTTATATCCTACGAGGCGAATTATTCCTTCACTAGAAACGGTTGTGTCTGATGTGTCTAATACCACTATTATTCCCACTATTATCAGTATTATCAAAGTTATTTTTATTACTACTGATGCTCCGCTAAGAATACATTGTCTCTAAATTAAGGCAGTTTGAAACTGTGAATGAATGCTGTATTAGACGAAAGAGTCGTGTTTTTGTTCGATTGAGATTTAAAAAAATACATTGTGTTAGGAACGATTATTTACTCATTCATAAAAAAGTTTCCAGTCGGTCATTGAATAACCGTTCAACAAATTCAGATGACCGGCTCTAAGCAACAAAAATTCGACGAATTGGTAACGGACATAAGATGGTTATCTTTTCCGACAAATTGAAGTTTGGAAATAATACAGAGATATGATTCTATCCTTTCGGGATGGACCACGCACATTCTGTCTAAAAACTAATATTTAAATCTATAAAAACGTCAATGATAAAAAGTTATTTGTTACAACATTGATCATTTTCATTTCTACCATCTAGTAACTGTCTGATTACGAAATGAGTACAAATAAATTGGTTCATACATGCTTTTCAAGGGTCACAATTGTTGGTAAAGGGAAATTCCCTCCATTAAGTAAAACTTCAGATTCATCTCAGGTCGATGAAGAAATCTCCCTTGCACAGAGACACTTGATTACACTCTCCGCTTTAGTTCGAGTCAGACGCGACGAACCGTAGACAGTACGGGCAGCTACTATAACATCGATAGACACATAAGATAACCAGTTTAATGGTTCAGGTAGTGCAGAAGCTGGTCGGAGGTAGTTTAGATGAAGCTAACACACCTGAGATACAATCGAGCTGGTTGCTATCACGTATCATATGCGTTCGCACCACCATAGAAATTAGCGTTTCCTAGCTTCCTCCTCTGCTGCTAGACAACATTTCAGCGGATGCAATGAAAGCAGAAGTGGAAGCAACTGCAAATTTTTCACATTCTCTTCAACAAAATTTGGGATAAAGAACAAGTACCATCAAACTGGAAAGAACGGTACCTCATCGAAATACCAAAGAAAGGCAATTTCAGCAAGTGTGAGAACTACAGAGGCAACAATCTTCTCTCAATACCTGACAAGGTCTTCAACTGTATGTTGTTAAACAGAAAGATGGACTTCGTAGACACTCAACTTCGTGGTCAGCAGGCTGGATTTCGTAAGGATCGATCGTGTACTGAAAAAATTGCAACATTACGGATCATTTTGGCACATTCAATAGAATGTAACTCACCACTCTACATCAACTTCATCGACTACGAGAAAGCGTTTGCTGGGATAGCCAATCGAGAAGACAGCCACGCACATTTTGGATTGATGAACATATCGATTAAATGTTTAAATATTTCAAGGGCAGTCGATTGATTAACTATTTGATTAATGTTCAAATATTTTAACGACAATATCGATTATATGTATAATTGTATGAATACGCATGTTTGATCGTACATTTTTGATTCTGTTAATAAGTGTTCTCCAACATCTTCCGTTTTATTTTTTAACGGTGGGAGTCTAACGTTCGGTGTTGTCATTTGTACAATGGTTTGGCGTTACTCAAGTACAGAACATAAAAGTATTCGTTAGCAAGGGCAGGAAAATACTGTGGAAGCTTCTTCGACACTACGGTGTGCCTGAGAAAATAGTCAACATCATACGGAATTCTTGTGATGGATTCAACTGCCAAATTGTGCACGGAGGACAGCTAACAGAATCGTTCGAGGTGAAGACCGGCGTGAGGCAAGTTTGCTTACTCTCGCCCTTTCTCTTCCTCCTGGTGATCGACTGGATTATGAAGACGTCAACATCTGGAGGGAAGCACGATATCAAATGGACGGCCAGGATGCAGTTGGATGATCTGGGTTTCGCAGATAATCTGGTTCTCCTATCGTACTCGCAAAAACAAATGCAAGAGAAGACGATCAGTGTAGCAGCAGCAGCCTCTACAGCAGTAGGTCTCAACATACATAAAGGAAAAAGCGAAATTCTCCGGTGAAACACAACATGCGCCAACCAAATCACTCTTGATGTAGATGCCTTGGAGGACGTTAACAACTTTACATATCTTGGCAGTATCATCGACAATCAAGGTGGATCCGATGCAGATGTGAGGGCACGGATTGCATTTCTACAGTTGAAAAATATCTCGAACTCCAAACAACTTTCAACCAAAACAAAGATCAGGATTTTCAATATAAATGTCAAGACAGTTCTACTGTATGGAGCGGAAACATGGAGAACTACCAAAGCCATCATCCAGAAGATACAATTGTTTATTAACAGATGTCTTCGCAAAATACTTCGTATTCGTTGGTCAGACACCGTCAGCAACAACCTACTATGGGAGAGAACAAACCAGATTGCAGTGGAGGAGGAAATCATGAAGAAGCGGTGGAAGTGGATAGGACACACATTACGAAAAGCAACTAACTGCGTCATACCGCAAGCCCTCACTTGGAACCCTCAAGGCAAAAGGAAAAGAGGAAGGCCAAGGAACACATTACGCCGAGAAATAGAGAAAGACATGAGAAGAATGAACAAAGATTGGACAGAATTTGAAAGGGATTCTCAGGACAGAGTTGGTTGGAGAAAACTGTTGGGCAGCCTATGTTTCATTGGGGGTAACAGGCGAAAGTAAAGTAAGTAATGCTAGGAAATATCAGCTTTATCCATAATCGTGAAGAGTGTAGTCGCTTGTTTTCGGTTGTGGTTTCCGACCACACTCAAATAAGTCTTTACTATATAACGTAATTTTTGTGTTTGACTGTGGTTAATAAATAATCATGCATTCATTTCATCTCCTCCAGCGCAGTTTTCCAGATATTATGCAAAGTGCAAAAGAATTTTATGAGCATTTATTTGAATGGAAGTGCCGGGTGATTTTAAAAGATTTTTTTGAAACAACATTGTACATGACGAGTATGAAAGTTCCATTATTTCAAAAGTGAAATCAGTTTCCACGTATAATTTCTAATAAAATATGTTTCTTAGGATTTGCAG